CTCCGAGAATAATAAGAGCGACACACTTGGCCGTCCAATGCGGCTTGCGATGCTTCTGAAAAAGGATCTATATTTAGAGCGTGCGTTTGGCACGGTGCTCTGTGCTTTAAATATTTTGTGTTCGATCGACGAAATGATGAAAATTTTCGTTTACGTGGTTGCATAAGTGGTCGAAGTAGGCTGCTAGCCGTGTGACGTCAAATGATGAGTTTAGGTTCGTCTTTGGTGGAAAAAAAGTAGGAAAGGATGAAACTCGTGCGAGTTGCTCATAAGTGGCTTTTTGAATTTCGTATATTCGCGTACGATTAATATTTGGAACACCACGCAGCGGTGTTCAAATGCGTCAATGACGAAAGTATAAATAACACGATAGAATCGCGTCCTCGTTTTTTTTTCAGAAATTGAGGAATTTTGAGGAAATCGATTTTGTAAAAGAAAAAATTTGTACAATGCTATTGAAATTTGTTAGAGAATTGTTAAAACATTCTTTTTTAGATTTGTTAGAGAATTGTTAAATTCTATTAAATTTTCTATAAATCTCTATCACCAAGTGATGTTTTTAGTTTCATCTACTTTTTAATTCATTTTACTTATTCCGTTGTGTATTTTTATGTGAATAAAATGTAAAATATAAATAAAAATTAGTTTTACGAGTTATAAAAAGACCTATAAGAAGTTCTATCTCTTGTTATATTTTTTTTAGGCATGACTGTTATCTTCTATGCTTGCTTCTATGCCGGACTGGCGATACTTTTCAGCATTTGCATGAAAGCCATGCTCGCCACATTGAGCTACGAGAAACCGAAGTGGACTCTAAGTAGCAGTCTCATAGGCACCAATCCAGGTAAGATTTTTGCCAAAGTGACAATTGCATTTAAAAAGTCATTATAAAACAATCTATTATGCTCTCGATGTAATTGTTTTTGAAAATTTATTTGTTCTCTCTTCCTCTACTGAATATAATGTTACTTTTCAAGACTTGATCGTAAATATACTTTTCGGGTCTTAATCTGAGCCTTGCTTTTTTTTTAATTGTTTGAGATACATAAATATATTATAGAAAAGAATCATGGTGCTTTTCTCAGATTAATATCTTTTTTATTTAAATATTATAAAAGGAAGCATTAAACTATACACTTCTCTTAAAAAGTTTTTATATGCAACAAAATGACACCTGCTACTTCATCAATTCTTCGTGACAACATTTTTGTAGTGATGCGTTAGCATTTAATAGTTTGTTTTATAATTAAAAATTGCACAATATTTCACCAAATTCTATTACGAGAATAAAAACTATTACTCACAATATTTTTGATGTAATTTTGACAGAAATATCATTTATAATACACAAGTTATTAACAAATAAAAATTGTTATTGTTATTAAATAAAAAAGTATAATCAGAATTTTGTGCTTAAATCGTTTGAACTTTTTAATTGCATCATTTGTCAACGTAATCCAACAGGTTTGGGTTTTCGACCGATTCCGGAAAATCCTGATGAAAGATCGCTCGTTTGGTATAGCGCGTCGAATGCAACCGAAGTACAAAAATGGACGCGACGTTTGGATGAGTTCTTGGAACGTGAGTAATAAGCCGAACAGCAAAAAAGCAGTCATTAATTATATTAATGTATATGCGCACACGTTTTCGGAAAAATAATTCTAGACAGCTTATCGTAGATTTATATATTGATTAAAAATTAAAGAATTATATTGTTTTCCGCGTCCCGAAGTAAATCTTGGGAGTTATAGCTTCTCCACAATTCGCTATCAGAGTTTGCCGCACAAATTATTATTTTTTTCACTTTTTGTGTCGTACATAAATGAAGCATAACGTGATGGAATTTGTACGAATTCAATAGACTACATCAACTCGTCACTGTTACCGAATGGCGGCAGAAACCAGCAGATCTGTAACTACACTATGCCAGCAAAATCTGGTAACGTATGCGCAGTCGACATAAACAATTGGGGCCCGTGTGCGCCAAGTCGACAATACGGCTTCAACAACTCGGCACCTTGCATCTTCATTAAACTTAACAGGGTGAGATAGCGGAACGCGTGCACAATTTTTGTGCAAAATTATTCTATGAAAACTTATTTAATATAATCTTTTACAGACAATATATTAATTTTTTCTATTCTTTTTATTTAATTTTGTCTAATGTTTTTTTTATGTTTTTCCATATTATAATATATTGATGTATAGAACTATTTTTTATAAGATTTTTTAAAATGTTATTTTTCTCTCTCTCTCTCTCTTTCTCTCTCAGATATATGGATGGGTTCCTGAGTACTACAACGACACTCAGAATTTGCCATCCGATATGCCAGCTAGCTTAGTTAATTACATCAAGAGAATCGACGCTTCATGGGTTAGTTAGTCGGTCAGTTAATTATATCAGTCGATAAATTAAATCTGGTTTAAACAAAATTCAAAAGTAAAAAAATTCAACTCTAAATTTACAACCAGTCTTAAATTCGAAACAATATGTCTAAAAAATAACGGAGAATTGACGCTGTATCAATTCAAACACTGAACGTATGTGCGAGTTTACTTTTTTCAAAGAGGACACGTTTGGATAATATAATAATACTAAAGTTATTGCTAAACTTTGTGCATTGTGGGTACTTTTTAAATATTATTGAAAATTTAAGAAATTTTGAAATTAAACCAAGAATTAATTAAATGAAATTTCAATTTTAACAGTAGCGTTGAAAATTGAAACTTCTTGCCATTATATATAGGTTTCCTAGAATTTTTATTAACATCTCGCTTAATACAGTTTATATTTGTTTTAAATTCCAGCTAAATACGGTTTGGGTGTCCTGCAGAGGAGAAAATCCTCATGACGTTGAAAACATTGGTCAGTTGGATTATTATCCGAAAGGACATGGCTTTCCAGGATTCTATTATCCATATGAGAATGTTCCCGGATACTTAAGTCCAGTCGTTGCCATTCACTTTCGTCGACCAATAAGTGAGTTTGATATTTTACGAATAATATTTATAACAATAGGAAACAGGCAATATTCATATTCTTAGGTTCTTCAAAGATAAATAAGAAGATTGAAGGCAATAAAAACTGAAAACACGATTGTTGGAGCGCACAAACTATTTTTAATAAGCTAGGAACTATTATTAATCAAGATATTAAACAAAAACGTTTTGATCGCAAGTTCGGGCTTTTTCCAGCTTGAGAAAAGACAAAAAAGAAAGAAAATTATGATCTGAATGTTTTGTATCTTGATTAATAATAGTTCTTAATTTTTCCGCTTCAATAATCACACTTTTGGTTTATTTTGCCTTGTATTTAAGGAAGTCTTTATTTTAATAAAAGACTGCAAAAAATCTCAAACCACGATAATTTTTAATATTCATTTTTTAATTGTAAAATACGTTTTTAGTAACAATTTGAAATCGATTAATTGTAACAAATTCTAATCTCTCGCGTTCTGTGCTCGTATACTTTCGTTAAAATCCTTGAAAAACTTAGACACAGTTACAGTCATCGTAATTTCCCGTTCTTTTCTCGATATGTGTATATAATACGCAATGTATAGTTAAAACATGTATCGTGTTTCAATACGTTATTTTTCGAATCCGCCATCATTGAGTTCATGTGACTTGTAAGCAAATGATGCACTCCAGATAAAACCAGTAAAAGCCGGTATATTGCAGCATAGTATCGGTCGTCGAAAGGTGTCATCGGCCAATAACGCTTGGTTAAACCTGCATGGTTTAATGTGATTCTATTTTAATAATCCTTCATCGACATCTCTCTTTTTTTTATTTTTTTATACAAAAATTTAATCGCAAAAATATAAGAATAATTATCAAACTATAAATTATAAGATACTTGAGAGTGTCACACGCATAATTTTAAAAATACCATTTAAGAATTATTAAATTTATATTAATTTAAATTTTACTTGTATTTTTATAACACTTTTTAATAGGAAAAACTTGATATGGCTATTTTTGGATCAATTTTTTAATATCGTTCCTTTACCGTTTATCACTTTATTTATCAGTTTTCTAGATATTTAAAATTTATTCAAGCGTTTCTATAAAAACAAAAAAGACTTTATACGTGTAAAATACATGCATAAGAAAATTCTTAAAATCAAACTATTTTCATAGGAAACCAAATCATCAACGTGGAATGCCGAGCATGGGCGAAGAACATTCAATACAGCTCAATTAGATCCGAAAAGAAAGGTGCGGTACACTTTGAATTGATGGTTGACGAGTGATCGTTGCAAATCGCGACGTTGCGATCATAAGGGTCGTCACTACCCTCGGTATCTCCGATTTTGTAGTTTGATTATGTGATTAGGAAATCTTGCGGTACACAAAACGAATTCAAGCATGTCGAGAAACACCGCGAGGTGTTTGGATTTCTCATTATGATAACGAATCACCCTTCGCATCTGAAAGAAATTTATAGATTAATAAATTCTTTATTTTCTAATGACACTGTATGTATAATTAACCAATTTTTCGAGATTCAAGCTTATCGAAGCTTGAACTCTTGATTACTCTTGATCTTAATAGGTTTATTACTTTCGGTTGTTCTGATAAAGAAAAGTTGTCTCCTGTTGATTCGCAAACACATACATAAAAATGTCGGTAATAAATGATATATAGGATATATATTCAACTTTAGATTTTAACAAAAATATTAAAAATTTTCAATTTTTATAAATAATTTTTAATGTTGAAAATTTAAGAGTTTAAAAAAACGCAATTAAAAGTTACATGGTTGAAAATGTGAGATTCAATTGTATATTCATTAAATATTTATTCGATATTTAAAAATCTCGAGATTTTAAAGGCCAAAAAATTAAAAGTAGTTTCAAGAATATAAAAATTTATAAAATTAAGGAATTTAAGTATTTTTAAGAAACCAGATAAAAATTTTTTAGGTTTTAAAAATTTTATCTAAAGTATTAAAAGTAAATCTAAGGTAAATCAAGCGGGGCAAAGGTACATTATACATTACAATCTATATATCCTAAACTGTAAAAAACATGATATTTGCGTTTAAATACTTTACTATTGCAAAGAATTAAAATGCAAAATTGTCTTCTATACGTCTATCATTTTTTATCTTCATTTAAAAAAAAGTACGGGTTGTCATAGTTCTCAGATATCCTGCATATAAAATTTGAAGTAAAATCACTTTAAAAAAAGAAGTTAAAAATTGAAGACAGTTCAACAATATAAATAATTTAATCCCCATATTAACATAGGTTTTTGAAAATGAAAACGCACATTATATCATCATTTTTAGAGAGTTATCCTATAATCTTTAATATCCTATATATCTGGGTCTTATTGTTTTGTTATTTGTACATACTCTAGCTTAGTTAAACATGTGTACGCTCGTCAATGTAAGTAATTTGTTTGCGAAGCGTTCTCGTACTTATTAAGATATAGGTGTAATAATTGTACAGAATGAATAATATGTCGCGCTTCACATATATAGTAATTATTACTTTTTAAATAAATGATAATAATGGTGGAAGGATAATTTAACATGCAAGTACAAATTTTTTTAACAGGGATAAGTATTATACAATCTTTAATTTATTCGTTGCGATTACATACATGTATTAATTTATTTTCCCGCTCCTTGCTCCCTCTCTAGTTTACTCTGTATATTAAATCATAGTAAACAAGTGGTATATATTTTTCTCACAGAAGCATATATTCAATTATAACTCGAAAACTAAGTTTCGAAAATTTTACAAAGATTTTGAAGCCTCTTAGAAATCAAAGAATACAACATTTCAAGGACGTCAGGTTATTTTGAATCACTATATATATGTATTCCTATTTCAATAATACTCAACATTTTCTGACTGTGAAATTTTTTTAATACAAATCAAGTTTTGGAGTGGTATATCAACTGTTTAAAAAATGATTCTTTTTTTTCTTCTTGAGAAGTTATTATTTTTCTCTTCTTGTTTTGATGTCCCTAATTCTTTAACATTGATATCGATACTCTCAACATATTCTAATAATACAATTATGTGCATTTGTATTTTATTTATTGGAAATTTTGGGAATAATTTATCATACCATACCAGCCAAACCATAGAAAGAATGATATAAAAGATGGCATGTTCGTGAAAATGCTCAAATAATCAGTAGTCCGCATTTCATTGGAAAGAGTTATTATATTTAGTCCAGCATGAGGAAAACAATTTAACTTCAATTGTTTACTGTTATTTTCTGTTATGTAATAAGCATGATTTTTTATAATTTTGGGAACTTTATTTTTTGATAAATTCTTGTCATGTAAAATAAGTTGTTTTTTCAATTTATTGTTGGAGGGATTGCATTGAGTTTTTAAGATTTTTATTATCTTTTCTGGATTCCAGAAAATCTATTACTTACTAAAAATAACACTTAATTCATAATAATCTAATTGTATTGCGTAACATAATGCTTAATCACTAATAATCCAATTATATTATAACGCGCTACACGAAATGCAGCGAGGAAAAGTGCAAATTTATTAAGAATCTATTATTTCTTAAAAATACTTTTATGTGCGCGTTTTAAATTATAATTATAAAAGAAAAAAACAAACTAATATTAATATCTTTATATTGAATAATACATATAGATATTAAGTTAAATTAAAAATTTATTCGGATTCTGCCAATAAACATCGTATTTTTTTATCATTATTAAATTGACTGAATGCATTTTTTGGGATTAAGCTATTATTAAGTCATTATTATTTCCATATTTGAAATCTATGATCATTATCTCTTTTTCTTTTAAAGGGAAAGAGAGAATAAACTTTACTTTGAAAATAATTTTTACAACACATATAATTGACAGTTTTCATTTAAAACCTTATATAAGGAAATAAGAATAAAAATGGAGTACGTCAATATTTTTATTGTTTTCGTTCATTTGTTTTTTATTATATGCAGTATTGATGCGTACGTGATATAGTACTAATTTGTTAAAATTCTTTAAATTTGTATTCTGTCAATTATTAAATTAACAATTTTAAGTTATCAACAGCTATGGAAAGGCCACATATTTTCGATCAGTCTTGTACAAGTTTAACGAGCAGAAAAAAAAGGAATCTCTTCGCAATTGCTTCCTTACAACTATTCTTGACAATACAATAAATGATGTAGCGCATAACACAATAACGCATATATAATAATCTATTTGATGAAGTTTCAGCGTCTGTTTCTTCTATCTCTCTTCTATCTCTCATTCAACAAAACAATAAAAATTTGAATGAATTTGATATTATTATATTTGACATACTTGCCATTTTTACTTTAAACTCCTTTCACAACTTATTTATAATATGTTCTCTTATCTTTTGTATTATTCTTTTATTTGATAAGATTACTCACGTTCTCTCAGACAGCACGCGTGTCTTAAAGACATTCGAAAGACGTCATTTTTTGGACATCTTTTATATATCCTTCAAATGTCTTTAAGACATGCGTGCTGTCTGGGTTGTTCATAAAAAGATAAAAAAATATGATATTATTTGTGTACATATTAGTTTCTATTATTATTTGAATGTTAAAAGTCTTCAAAATCGCACCTGATTATAAAAAGTCTACTCTACTAATATTATATGTATGTATGAGTATTCTGAATGATATTCCAAATGAGATTCTTTTACATATTACAGGGTAGAGCATTTAAATTATTACGAATTGTTAACTCTAAAAATATGCATCATAGCAAAAAATATTTTAGATAAAAATTGTTTAATTCGAAGAGGAAAAAAGATAGAGATGTTAATTTGACCTTGGGTCATCAAAGTAAGGATATTATTACAATTTAAAAAAAAATGGAAACCCTTATTTCTTATAAGTTTTGTATAAAATGCAATATCTTGTAAAGTATTCAAAAAATGGCAGATTCAATATAAGGCACACATATTTCAGAAAATGATGCAGTTAATGGAAATATTTCAACGCTTTCAACGATGATTGTTTCACCTAGCCTACAATTTTCCTCTTATCTCTATTACTGTTATCCTTGTCAAATTTTCATATATCGCATTTTACCTTAATGCACGTCCAAAAATCCATCAAATACTTCCGGAATGTCTGTCGTAAAAGATTTTTTTTCTGTTTTGTACTTGATTTATATCATTCAGAGAGTCGGCATCTAGTTGATTTCAAAGAAACGTTTCCTCTTCTCGCAATTTGATTGTTTGGAAAGTAAAGATTCGCTTATCTCAAAAGTCTCGAGGACACTCGTTGATTTTCGTTTAAGAGACTACGCAGGAAGCCGAAGGCCAATTTCGTTAATCTATCATCAGCTCAAAATGGACTGCACCTATCTTGTCAGTACGACTGTGTTTGATATTCTTCGCCCATGCTTTGCATTCTACATTTATCAAGATTCCAGCTAAAAGTAAAAAATAAACATAAAGTAATTCGTGTATACTTTTACATTGATATACGTTGATATCCGCTCTTCCCTTTTACTTACTTCGTGGTCTATAAAAATGTACCGCAACCAACGGACTTAAGTAACCCTCGGAATTTTCATAAGGATAAAAATAACCGGGGAAACCCTGACGTGGCAAGTACTCGATCGGCCCAATGTTTTCTTGATCAGCAGGATTTTCACCTTCGCACGACACCCAAATTGTATTCAATTGCAAGGTATTGTTGTTTGCCACATCTCTGATGTGTTCCTTCAGCTCCTCTGGCATCTTATCCGGCAAGTTTTTAGTATCGTTGTAAAATTCGGGCCTCCAGCCATAAATCTGACAAATAAAATTATTATGAGAAACGTTTTTATTTCCAATTAATAATATTGATCTTTTTTAAGTTAGTAAATTCGAACCATATAAAATATCTTCGAATAAATACCTATTACAAGTAATTGAAATAATTTATGACGTATGCAAAAAGTACCTTGTTCAATTTGAGGAAGATGCACGGGGCAGATTTATGATAATTATATCTGTTTTCCTTCGTGCAAGGATGCCAATTTTTCACGTCAACGTCGCAAACCTTTCCGGGTGGCGGTGGCTGATTGTAATCGCACTTATTAATATTAGCACCAAGACCAAGAACAGATCCGGGTGTTATATAATCTGAAATATTACAACATAACGATGATCAAACGTTCGGGAATCCAAAAATCAGAAATTAATTCTTTAATATCCGAGCAACATAAATTTCTTTTTCATAGCAGATAGTTACCTTTCAAAAATCTTGCAACGAATCCACCCAGTGCTTGAAGTTTTCGCTGTCGGTGCCTCTGTACCAGATCAAGGTGCTTTCCACATTGTCCGTCGGTGGCATCGGCCTGAATCCTAATCCTGTAGAGCAGGACAGCGTCGTTTATTTAAAAATATGCAACATATTCTGTCTTGTTTCTTGATGCATTAAAAAATACGACCACGAAATAAAAAAACGTTTAAACATAATTCGAACAAGTCTTTAATTAAAAATAAGCTGTTTAAAATCTTTATAGGTGGATATGTTTATTACACTAATGCACTAACAAAAAATAACTTACCTGGATTTGTCCCAATAATAGATTTCTCAAGCTGCCACTTTGGTATTCTTGGGTCGAGTGTTTGGTGGAATCCCCAGAGACAAATAGCGACAAGTGCCCCCAAAATGCCGTAAAATGTCAGGTAAAAAAGTCCAATTTTACCTGCATATAAAATAAAATAGTAATTAGAACAGTGTAATATAATTTTGTAATGATCTTTGGATCATCCCATAAGTAATGCGGTATTTCTCATTTTCTCGAAAATTATGAATTATTATGGCCAAACAATTGCAGGTAGGTATAAATACCGTTGCGAAGTTTACCTTATTATTCGAGTGAAATTTTATTGGCGTAGACGTTCTTAATCATGAAAATAAAAGTTTTATTCTAAAGTTGCAAAACTAATAGCATATTCGACTGAACGGATCGACCCGAGATTGATTAAAGATATCATCCTACCAATAAAAGATTTAAATTCCTAGTAAAAAGATCAATTGACCTTAAATGCATCAACATCCGTTCAGTCAAAAACATTACAATTCACATTGACTTCGAGTTTTCTTTTGTTTTCGATGTATTGATAATTTTCCGATTGTTTAAATTATCACCCGAATATCTATTATAAGACAACTGATGAAAAACTTCTTTCTTTAAAAAATTTAATGTTTTATGGCTCACATTTTCTTTTATGTTCGACATTTTCGTTATTATTGTCCAGTTCACATTTGAAAACGCATCGAAAATTGTTTTAATACGAATTAAATAACATCGCATTATGTTATATATCTAATTTTTGTCTAAATACAAGTGATGTTATTTCATTCTCTCACCGGGAATCTCAGAAGAATTTTAACAGTCAAGATATTCTTCAAAATGTCTGCAATCGTATACAGAAGAAGTGGGTACTTGTATGCAAGCACCTCGTATAATATAGGTTAATTGTATTAATCATAGTTTCAATTTGAAAGAGGATCAAAGCGCCTTGTCAAATGGTGCAATTCAATTACGCGCCGATTTAACATTTCAACGACGCCGTGTGACGTATTTTATAAATACTGTCTTTATTATCAAGCTTTAATTCTTGGCCTTAAATCTCAACAGTAACTCGTCTTCTATTACCATAATGTTAGAATGATTGCCTTGTTGCAAAAAATACAAAGATATTATCACAGACGTCTATATATCACTTTATACTACAACTATAGACTGCTAACTCTCTTTATTCTCATACATAAAAGTGATTCCCAAAATTATGTATTACATATAGTAAGTATTTGCACATGCGTGGCAATACAGTAAGCAGATATAAAAGTAGATACAAAAGATAATCTGATTCGATAAAACTCGTAATTCGCTTTTCTATGGTGCTTTCGATCGTCTGAACTGTGTCGACTTCCGTGATTTGAACGATCTCAGGTGATTGCAACTGAATGAAAGGTAGCTGCATAGTTGCGTGGGTGTACCCTTCGGAATGGCCCTAAGTTATGTAATACTGTAATGCCGTCGTTTAATGTCAATTGACCTCGTTATACACGCGTTGAAGGAAGTTTAACAATTGCCATTCAACTGTCAAGCAAACCGTTGTATGCGCCGCGAATCAAACGCGTTTCGTGTTTCCGTCTTTTTCTCCCCATATTTTCCGTCTACCTTCCCCTTATTTATCACTTTGGTGCTATATACTGTGTGCGCACATAAAGAATTGTATAATAAATTGTACGGATCAAACATGTTATACATTGAATGTAAAGGAAAACATTAAAACGAATGTAAAAAGCTTCGACAAATCGAAGCTGGAAGTTAAAAAAAAAAATCTTTTTTGTACAAAATTAAAAATTATTATAACAACTGTTAATTGAAGAATCTTTCGTGTGCAATAAAACACATTATTTTTGTCCTCATTAAAATCGCTGCCATTGGCTTAATGCTTTACAATACTTTTCATAATTAACACAGCGCTCATTATTTGAGACAACATACGTGTACCTTCTATTCGAATAAATTATGATCGTTTCAAATAACACGCACGTGCTTTATACATTCTATCTGAATTGATCGTTTTTATTATGGAGAATCCGTTTCTCAATAACAATCTTTCCAATATTTTAAAGCAAGAAAGATTGAATTTAAAAACTTGACAAAAATTAGGTATACAGAAAAGATTTTCACATTGATTGTATATCAAGATTAAATTAGATTTTATGTCAAAGATAAATCTTGAAATGCTTTTTGAAGAGTTTACTATACTACTGTAAAAGTTCAAAACATACACAGGCTTCTAAGCCAATTAAACCAAAATAATCTTGCGAATCGACATGTAGTTGGCATTGTAAGTTTTCATTACATAGCAAGAAATAATAAATAAATTGGCTATTTTGTCAGTTACGTGTCTCTTTTTATATTTGATTAATAGAATACTTCAAATATTAGCTATTTTCAACAAAAAATAATATTAAAAACTTGATACATTCGAGTTTATTCGAAAAATTCGCAGCATTTTATGAAATAAAATTCAAAATGAAACTTTCAATTTTTACAACAAAAATTAAAAAATAATTTTTCGCATAAAAACTAATCCTTGTTGTATTTCGTTAAAGTAGCACATAAATGCGTCATTATTAAAGCAATAACCGGACTAAAGAACATCAACTTATGCAAAGTCGATAAGTTAAGATAAGTTAAACTTATCACAAAAACATTACAAACTTTTTGGATGAATCAATATTTATGCATACTTTACTTTTACATGTTGTATTCATAAGTGTACATTTTTGCATATTTTATCCATAAATGCTCATTATTTGATATACCTATTTTTGCTAGAATTGATTTGCGTGTGAAATTTCGGTTTCTCTTTTAACGATTGAGAGTATCACATGTAAACCCTAAAAAAGGTTTCACGCAACGTACATGGTGCGTAACAACCATTAGGTCACCATAGCGACAATCGTAAACACACTCCAGGACTAATAGGAGAGACGGAGGACCATTGCTGCCAGACGGCAAACCGGGCTAATACGCACACAATTGAGAATTCCGTATATGTGCTGCGCATAACACTTCTACAAACATTGAGAGCGCTTTGCGCAGCACATATACACGATCCTTAATTAAATGCGTATAGACCCGATCTTGTCGTTTGGCAGCAGTAGGTGGGACTGATATTCAGCGATGATCGATGGTGTCTAGTGGACTAATTAACCCGACTAATTGACCCGACTTTAACGTATTTAAATTGTTGAAAAAATGCTTTTATGAAAGTAAAATTAATTTGTTTAAGATTAAAAGAATTTTTTCCCGAATTTTTTTGTCATACACGTTGCATATAAAATTTCCAGTATAAAAGATAAATAAAAAAAGAGTGGCCTCCTCTTTTTGAAAATTTATTTAATAACATAAATAATAATAACTTAAGTGGTCTAAATTGAGGAAATATTTATGTGACATCACAAATAAAATTAACTTCGGAGTTATTGACGTCATCAATTAGTCACAAAATTTATGACGAGCTTGAGTCGATGAACTTTTCCCGATACAAAAATAAGCAAAGAAACAAGAAATATAAGAATAAGAAAAAAGCTTATTAGATTTTTTAATATGATCTGTATATGTGTAAAATATTCACATAAATTATGTGTAATGTATTTTCATAATTTTGTTCAACTTTCTTCACTGAAGAGTAATATTTTTATGTAATATTTTTATTCAACATTGCATAGCAATAAATGGTATTTCATAATTTTACTGATTAAGCTTTAAGCACACGTCTTTATTTAATCAGTAACTATTATTACAAGCTGATTCAACGAAAGCGAACTGCATGCTTAAAGAAAAAATCACGTGAAATATTAAGTAGTGTATTTCTTCAAAGAGTAGATATATTACAATTATATTTAATACAGCAATTATGTTATTATATTTAATACTACATTAATTACATTTAATGTTGCAAACAATAATTTAAAAAATTCGAAGTACCGACAAATTTATTTTGCAATCAATTTTTCCGAATTATTTCTTAAAAATTTTAAAATTACGGACAGAGTATGTAATTAATTTTTTTTAAAAAAGATCAAAACCACGTTAAATAGCGTAATAAAAAGATCATTTTGACACGCCCTGTTTTTTAAAATACTAAAGAACAGTATGTGACAAAATGTATCAAAGCTGTTAGTAATGACAGCAATTTAAACAAAGTAAACTCTATAAGAATCCAACGGTTTGCTTAATCTTTATTAATTGTGAGAGAAATTGTGTAAATATAAAAATTAAGAAAACGGTATACAATACGAATTTTTTGGTATAAATTTTAGATTTCGCGTGTCATAATTAATTCTAAAAAATGCTTGCTGTAATAAAAACATCGCAAAAAGTACAGTTGGCCAATCAGCAAGTGAAAGGATCCAAAACTTTTAAATTTTTTGAATATTTTGACTAACAGGTCCTGACGTAACTTTCTTCAGCGAGAGCAAAAATATCTAGCAAAGACACCTAAAAGACCTTCTGAAAAAATCCCATCTCTTGGGCGTCTTTCATATGTTTCTAAGCATGCGTGTTGTCTAGGATATTTCGAGAAACTTCACAAATCATATGAAATTTTAGATAAAAGATGCAATTTTAGGTGCACCTGTATCTGACAATGAGATCGAGTCTCGAGTGATATCCGACAGAGTTCGATATACAATGTGAAATTAGTGAAAACTATCGATAACTGTGAAATTGTACATATCCCCATCATACAGGTACTACATAATTTCTTTCGTGCCGCATAACTTGAAAACTGGCAACACTGTGCTTACCCCAGCTACTGGCGGTCCTGCCCATGACCGCGCTGGTCTCAGGATTGTACACGAACGTCTTCATAGTTTGTTTAACCGACATGCTGGGTGGTTTCTCGTACGGGTTCATCAACTCCGCGGTGACCATCCTCGTATCTTTGGCTACCATCGTGTCTACCACCTGTTATCAAGTTTCGCTTGGTTCACAAAACGCACATGCACCCGCCCAAGCAATGCTTGAAACACACAAGTTTTTTTATTCTCCGATCACTGAATTCCCCCGTTGATTGGTCGTCGTGCGTCACAATTTGCTTTTCTATTTCCTTTTTTTCTACTTTGTTCTCTCGCAATTATTACTCCAACTCGCAAGTTACTCCGCCACTACAGTTGTTTCTTCGACGTCATCAGGTTGACTAAACGTGCCTGAACGCGCCTGAGCTCACGCCGCGCGACTTTTTTCCACCTCTCTCGCTCCCCTCTCCGCACCGTCCTCTTGTGCCCACTTCTCACTGCCCCTCCTTGACCACAGGTTCGGAGGAGCTTTCTGCGAGGCCTAGGTGCAGGTTAGAAAGATGTGTGCAAGTTATTCCGCAAAAGAACTGCATAATTTTTATGGAACTTTTAGATAAAAACGTTGAAATTATCGTTCGCATCTGGTTTTAATAATTTCAAGCAAGTTCACGCAGCAGTGACTCACATAATAATACCGCGAACACTCGTGTCACGAACAGCACTTTCTGTATCCTTCGTTTAGTAAAAGCAACGCGAGAAAGAGTAAAGCAGAAAATGAGTGTACGTTTTAAGTCCCGTAGCATATTGGCAATGAGTCAACGTAGCACTCTAACTCTATTCTTTATCACATATTATGAATTGAGGCGAAGTGTAACTAGTTCAAAGCAGACAGAAAAATTGATACTCTGAATCATTATCTCTCTTGTCCCTCTTTTTTCTGTAAGTGTTGATTTTTACAGAGAAAAATACAGATACACCTATTGTCCGCGATGCGAGTACCGTTCGCGCATTGCTCGTGCGTCATTTGATGAACTAATTGTGCAGGCTTAATTTAAATATAATGTACATCAGACATAAGTAATTCACTATTTTTTATGAAATTTAATGTATTAAATTTGAAAAGAGAGTCTTCTACTCGTCTAACAATTCTCCAAACGCGCTGATTTTGCCTTTACATCTCGCTTCATTTAATAGCCTAAAACTTTGAAAATAATTTAATATCCTAAAACTCCGAGTTTCGAAAAATCACTTTATACAAATATTTTTAGACACATAGAGGATTTAGAAAATGCAAAAAGAAATTAAGAGTAATAAAATAGTTTCCCGCAGATTTGAAATACGTTCTTGTTGAGGATGTATCAAATATGCTTATAATGTGCTGTAGGTGCATGTATGTATGTCAACGATGATGTGTAAACATATGTGTATGTTTCGCATACCGTGTATTACTATCGCGTAATTATCAGTGATACATATCTCTTTCGCAATACCTTAGTTGTGTGTCATTCACATTGAGTCCGCTATGCTCAATGCTAATGCATCATTAATTACAAGTGTTCAAAATTTTATTAACTTCTTAAATATTAATAATGTATGCATTATTAAAAAACTATTTTTTTAGAACTTTTATAAAATACAATGTCTCTAGATTTTCAAAGTTACCAAATTTCAAATTTTTTTTTATCAAAAATTTTGTATTTAATATGGCAAACCAAATAATAGACATCAATTTGAAAAGTTATTTTATTTTTATTAATCTTGATTTCTAAAATTTTTTAAGATTTTTAAATTTCAAATCTGATATCAAAAGAGCTTCGAAATTTAATTAAAAGTTTATTACAATCTGATATTACGTATTACATTTAATCTACTGTTCGAATTTCCAATTGCCACATTGGATTTTACAATTAAAAATTTTTTAATTAGAAATTTTTGAACTTGAATTTAAAAAATTTTATTAAAGATACCTGGTCTATCTGTCTTTTTTCATAATTCGCTTATTCGTCGCGATTCAGAAAATTGCGAATACGATTTTCTCAATCGTCTGGCAAATTAGGGGCTAAGGTCAACTCGTGTGTGTGGCCTTAGTACGGGCAATGGCAACGACTGTCCGATTCATGCGGCGGTCCATTCCATTCTCTTTATCACAACGAGACGAGCTTAGGCGCGTGTAATGTGAGTCACACATACAGAGATCGATCTGAATTGCCCACATCCTGCCCATCTTGTGACATTAATGTCATTACTGTCCGACGGAGAACTTGGGGCGAAATAGACGGAAGAATCAGCGTTATTTCTTGTGACTCTCAAGTATTCCGACCTCGTACGAGCGCATCTTTCTTTTGTAAAATCAAACATGGTATAATACCCTTGGTATATATTTCTTAATTCTATAATATCGCAAATATTTTAATAATTTATGATTGCACAAGTAAAGTGCAATTCTTTAGGCGGTAAAGTTCTTCTTACGATCTGAGAAAATCTTATTATGTACACAAATAGCATTTATTTATCTTAAAAGATTAAGTTAAATTTTATTCTTTTTAATAGTATATCTTTCAATAAATCCTACATTTATGCAATAAAATACATCAATTCAATAATTCTATAGATTAGATTTATTCTTCTTGACACATTTCAAGTATAATGGTGTCATCAACATGCCTATCGCATGTCTCATTAGCCAATTATGTTTAAAACTTCCGTCGTCTACGAGAACGTCTGCATTTCGAAGCCAAGGTTATGCAATTACACAATTTTACAAAAAAATTTTTGAAATTTAAGGTGTCTCCTTTTATAGTGTTTGTTTTTTTGATATTAAATACAATGCCAGTTTTAAAAATAATACTATGTAACAATACTATGTAATAGTATACATACAAAATTTCTAATAATTATAAATATTAATAATTACAAATATTTATCTAATAATTATAAATATTTTAAATACTTAGTCTTATTAAATCTTTTGAATATCTTATATTTAACGACATTATATTTAACGTCGTTTAATTAATCGATAATTACTTATAAAAAGTTATGTTACTAATTACAATTTTGATTTAAAAAATACGCAGTTAGAAGACGAATGTGCAGAGAATCACAAAAAAAAAACATTTGCCAAACGCATGAAGCCAGATTGAAACATTGCGCATTTTCGACAAATTTTAAAATATAATATTTTACGTATCACAAAATAATATGCTGTTTTTTGCGTTTTGAATTTTAATTTTCATAAATAAATTAATATCACACAACTTGTGCGCCTTCATTTTATAAACTCGTTAACGTTGTCTGAGATAAGAATTAGTTTCGCAAAATTTTAATGAACTGAAATTAATTACTATCTTAACGCTAATAAATCTAAAGATTTTGAGGATATAAGAGATAATATAAAAAATATGATAGTAATTTATTTGTCGAAATTAAAATAATTTTGTAATAAATTTTGTAACTTTGAATTTTGTGAAAAATATTTCGTGTTGTGTTAATTGTAGAGAAAGCAAGGCTACCGTAGCGTTTAGGGTTGGTTTATGTCCCGCTGTTTACGCATTTCATACTTTCACTATCTCTTTCTATCCTGCTATCCTGCTTTCTATCTTGTACTTCGCATTATCTCTTCTGCGCATGTTACCTATTAAGTCTGCGCAAGTCCTTCAAATATCCTGCGGTATTTTGCCCCTTACCAGTCGCACAGCGGCACTCGTACGGGTTCGCACATCGAGTTATCCCTCCCCCTACTACCCTTACTACTTTTCTTTAGAGTTTTCCGCCTTCCTCCCCCTTTTCCATCATTACCTGTTGCGTACTATTCGGCGCAGAGTACCGAAAGCATATTCCGTGCGACAAGCGATATTCGAGTTTTACCTTTGTCCTCATACGACAAAATCGCGTCGGAAGTGTGTAAAATACCGTGTGATCGTCGTAATAAAATGCGTAATAAAAATCGGGAGTGCCGTTTAAAAGGTCGCGCGACTTTCGTATTTAAAAACGCACGCGTGCAATGCGTGTAAGTGTTTAAAAGAATTATCGTGAAAATTGTTCGCGTCGCGATCGCGTGTGAATGCTTTGAAAAACTGCGAGGGCTGCGAAAACTCTGAGGACTGAGAGGAGGAGGAGGCTCAGGAGGAGCATCGGGCGCCGGCGGAGCGACTTTACGGTAAATAATAATTCATTCATTTGTTGAAGATGTTGTAAATATTCATTATTTTGAACGCAACTGTAATCTTGATTTATTTTCGTATTTTACAGATCATCAACTATGCAGATCAACAGAACGACAACTCCGCTGCTGCGCATCGATCGGTGAGTTAGTCTAATTAGTCTTTTATTATTAAGATAGTGGATCAAACAATAGTGTAAAAATATACTTTCCAAACACTTTGCAGACTGTATAATTTTTATCGCTTTATAATATTATAATTATATCAAAATTTTATTCTCACGTATTTTTTTCAAATATTTCGAATTGCACGTGCATTTATTTTTTAAAAACGAAGTACTTGTTTTTTTAATTATATAATTTTATATTAGATTATAATTATAAAAATCATTAAAAAATATGTAACCTGCAAAATGCGTTGTACAAAAAAAGCAAAGTGTTTCTAATTTTGATTTCGATTGAGCCCGAACAACTTTCATCGGTCTAATAGCCCTTTGAATCAACACATATTAAATATTAATCATATAATATTAAAAATATAATCATATACAAGAATACTTTAAATAAAATTATGAAAAGTACACTATTTCTTTGATCCAACATCTTAAATGGATTGGCTAAGATTTAGATGCGTTGATGAATATTTAACCCTGGAACATTTCTTAAATATATTTGATGATTGACGGATCAGGGCAAGATATATTGAATTATTCGAAGAGTTTGTAGAATTTTTTATGACAAAGTTGAAAATAATTTTTATATTTTTATATATCTGTATTTAATAATGTATGCACAAGTTGTTAAAGATGGCGAAAAGTTGTCGAAAACAACTATGCATATATTATTCAACAAAAATGACCCTAAACATGTAAAAATTGTTTTCAATTTTATTATAAAAATTATTACAAACTTTCTAAGTAACCCAATATACTTTTATCCCGAATAATGTATTTATGTTTGTTTATATATTTATGTTTGTTTATATATTTATTTATATATTTATTTATATATTTTTTTATACGAGAAAAAAATATAGAAGAAAAGAAATATTTAAAAAAGATTATACATTAAGATTATACATAAAATAAAAGAAAAAAATTGTTAATACACGGAAAAGAAGAATTTGCTGCCGCTAACATATTTAATATGCAACAGCAACGAATATTTTATTGCGATAGCGAAATTCTTTTTTTCTGTAACGTGTACTTTTATTTCTCCCTTCCCTACAGTAAGTGATTTATATCTTTTATATCCTTTCCAGGGTTAAATATTATACAAATTGGCGTTGAAAAGCAAAAGTAAAACAATTTTAAAATACATATATACATATCACAAATATAAATTAAAAATAAAAAAGAAAATTCTTTTACACGAACGTAAATATATGACGAAATTATGGTATATTCGAAATAATTTTTCTGATAAAAAAAGAGTGCATTTTTTATTAACAATTTTGAAATTATTTATTCTTGCTACACGCCAATTTCTTCGTTACCTTTCCTAGCCTACCCATGCATCTGTGGTTCTATGGCTTAGCACTAGAACTACCAAAGCGGTCAAAATAATCGGTTTATTTTTTTCAGAATTATTTAGAATAATTATTTAAATTTATAATGTTGCATTTCCTGAAATTTTTTCTGTGACTTGTTGCATTGTATTAAATGATTAAATTGATTAATGTACTTTTTCTCTTCATCACTTTTTATAAAAAAAAGAAAAAGAAATAAAAATTGGTATACGATGTTAATCGTCGATAGTTCCAGTGTTGATCCCATGGTTGAGCATGGACTTTCAAAATTCGTGGTCCCATCGATGATGGTTGAGCACAGATATCGAAACGTTGATATGATCGAACGATTGAATAATGGTCGACCATCAACACAAATTTCGGATGCAATTAGCGTCTTGCGAGAAACATCGAGACAGTCGCTCTCGGATTTTCGATGCAAATAGCGGTAACTGAGCTGAGCTCTGCGCTAACATAAGCATCACTCGAAAAACGCCGAGGTTGTTATCCTCGGAATTCTCTCAAGTGAGAGATGTCATTTGCGTGCACGAAAATGTGTATAACGTGAAATTAAATCGATAACTTATAAATTAAATCGTTAATCGTTAAATTGTTATTTTATCCGCGTTTCTCGGTTTATTTGATTTATATGAGTTTTCAGATATTTAGATCTCTTTTATTAGGTAGGATTTTCTATTAGATAGAATTGTTTTATTAGGTAGGATTTTTTGTTAGGCAAGATTAAACAATTTTATACAAATTTTGTATTCTTTTTATTTCTTTGCATCGATAAATTTTGAAACTTCTGCTTTGACAGTGAGTTTGTAATTTGTCGATGACAAAGATAATGACAAAACTTCGTGGGCAAACAGCAAGATTTTCTTTGGAAAAACGAAAAAAATTTCTTGCGCTAATAAAGCAATATATTAAAAGACGTTTAGATGCTGTTTAAATGTATAGAGAATAATTTTCACAATCGAGATAGTAAAGTTTTCTGCAATTTTATGAGATACTTTGCTCTTTTCAAATAAAATCTTTTAAATTTTCCATAAATCTTTTAAACGTTTAAACGCCTTCATTGACGTCTTAATAGCAAATAAACTATTATTTTAATTTTTATAATTGAAATTTCTATTTTAAATTATTTTGTTATATACTATTACGTATATTATCCTCTATTTACTTTTTGGTGAAAGAATTTTACGTTTATTTGAAGATTTTATTTGTATTCTTTTATGATTACTTATTACTTAAGCGATATGAATGGTTTTTCAATTTTTTACATGATTGCCGTCGTAGTTGTCGATCTCTTGTGTGTAAAACGATGCAAATGGAATCTTCAATAAACATAAATGTACAAAATAAAATTTCCAATTCGATAATACTCACATTCATTTGTTTTAGGTTATCGAACAATGGTATATTATGATAATGAAAAATGAAGAAGAGTTTCTTAAAACAAAGTCAATATTTTCTAGATTTTTTATTAAACGTTTTTATATTTCAGGTGTAATTTGTCAAGTATGATTTTTTAGACTTTAATATTTCTTTATACGTATATGTATATCTCCCACATATCTCCCACATAACACACATATCCAAAAGATGTCCAAAAGACATCTTAGAGATATCTTTGAGAGATACGATATCTTCGGAATGTCCCCCGAACGTTCTTCAAATATACATGTTGTTTAAGAAAATTTCTTAACGTGCTGTTTGATGTAACTTTATGAAAATTTTAATTTTCTGTCTTTATATTCATTTTCAGATTGTAACTTAATATTCTAATTTTTCAGATTTTAATTAAATAATTTTATTTTTCAAATTTTTATGTCATGTTTCTACATCTCTTATATTTGTATATTTTATATATTTACATTTTTTTAATGTTTCTAAGGAATTTTATTCATTGTTATTCTTTTCTATTTTCTCTATGTTTATAATTTATTTATTTTTTTGTAATATATATACATATATGTATTATAAATATAAATTAAAAATGAAAATGATTAGTTTTACACAAACGTGAACTGATAAATAATGGTATGTATATTTAAAATTATTTATTTAATAAAAAAAAGTACGTTTTTGATTAACGATTTTGAAATATATTCATTCTTGTTATACGCCAGTTTCTTTGTAATCTTTTTTACGTCCTTTAGGTCCTCGTGTTTTACGTCCTTACCTGAGAAAGGGCTAGGATTAGGTGTGAACGGGCCGTAACAGCTGAGTGTAAATGTAATAGAAAAAATTTGTCATATTATATCTATAGAAAAAACTGTTATATATTTCATCTATTAAAAGAATCGTTGTTTTAAAAGAATTCTACCATTCTATAAAAAATATATCAGAAAATGACGGCAAATGAGAATAAAAATTATACACATTATTATTATCAAAATAGAAAATTATTTTATATTTTATACAAAAGATTATTATTAAGTTATTAAAATATTTAAAAGCCAATAAAAATTAAAAAAAATTATTAATGCTGAAAAACTTGACGCGTTGCTACACTGAATAACACGTTAACATAATGTTAATTAATGTCTTATGTTTAATATTAATGCAAATGCATATTTTATTACAGTAAATAATTAGTAACACACAAAAGAAGATAATCGAGAAAGAGAGAAAAATAAATTTTACAATCAATGATACAATATTATATCTCGAAAATTCGTATTTTTATCTAATATATAATAGTTTTTTTAATAGATAAAATGTGTAACAGAGTTTGTTCTATAGATAAAATATAATATGACACATTTTTTCTATAGGTTTTTATGTACATGTGTGTATACTGTTCTAACAATCGCATGTATGTATGTACTTGGCGCGTTTTTGTACCTTTGCACATAACATTGTCATATTCAAAATGTTTGAACCTTGAAAGATGCTTGAAAAATTATTAGCTCCTTCTGCTAAAACGTTGCTGTTAAAACGTGTCATAGAAATGTTATCAATCTACATTTTATTAATCTGTATATTATTCAATATGTGGAATTTGTGCACATGTGAATCGATGGATCTGTGAATCTCTAGATTCGTGGATCTATTTAACATTCAAGCTGTGGTGTCGTAGATTTAGAGAAGCATTAGATATAAAGCAGTGATAAATAATAAATTCACGAATTAATAGATTTATGGATTTTAAGATCTATATTTTTACATAACTGATACTTGTTTACTGTAGTACATATTATTCGCACAGTGATATTAACCTAATAAAACTACATAAAATAATTGTACACAGAATTAGATACATTGTTTTGCAAGCTTTATTTTCGTTAGGAAGTATTCGTACTGATGATTCAATGTTCGTTTTTCGACATTTTGATCATTTAAGCTTCTAGAATGTATTTTTTCCCCTGTTAGAATATAATATCGTGTGTCGTTACGCAAAAATATACTACAATTTTTTTCGGCGAAGAAACTTAATACCTCATAGAGCACAAGACTGCGTAAAATAATAATAAATTATTAAGTAATTTCATTATATAATATAATTAAGTCATAAGCATTTAAAATTCTACATTACGTGACATATAACAAAATTAATATAAATTTTTCCGCGTTTAGTTCGAAATCGATGAAGTTTTCGATTTAAGTACATTCAGAAATCCAATGGTGGAAATTCGATTTACATACTTAGAGGACTATCACGATCAGTATTACTGCTAATGCATCAACAGTTTTAATGCTTTGGTTATTGATATATATCATTAACATTTTTTATATTATTAGTATACGATCAATAAACATTTTTCATACTATCACCTTATTTATGTTAAAAATTAGTAATCACTGATCGCAATTGTTCTTTCAAATTTTTTTTAAGTACAAGCTTTTCATTTCTTCGTTAATAATTATATAGCAGTTTTATTCAGAACTTTTTATTTATTAAGTACTAAACGTGAGTGACAGTTTCTTTACACTATCATAATATATCTCAATACAGAACTGATGGTGTTGCAATACTGTTTTTATCGATTGATCGCAAAAATATCTGTGAAATTGCGAATCAAATATTAATTTGTAAAATTAATAGATCCTTGGACTTACAGAAGATTGCATTTGCAAATTTTTGTATTCATTAATTTTTCAATATGGATTCTTAGGTCCACATACAAATCTTTAGATCTGTAGATTCTTGTTGATTCTTGCTGTTGATTCATAGATTCCTGAGTGTATAGATTCTTGCCCTCGTATATCCTCAAATAAGATCCTTGGGCCCATAGACTCTTAAATATACAGATCGTTAATATCACATAAATCTTTAAATTCATAAATTCTTTATATAAATCTATATATCATGATCTGTATTTCTATATTTTATGCATCTCAACGCATCTTCTCTTCTTTTATTTTATATATCTATGCACACACACACAAACTCGGATCTATTTTTGTCATCTTAGACTTTTTACATAATATAATGTTACAATTTCTAAAATATACGCATATTTTTAGTCAGATTTTTCATTTAGCGAATCGTAAAACGAGGAATTTCTTTGGATTCATACATTTTTGAACTAATAGAATGTTAAATTAAAAAGTTTTTAATTAAAACTTATTCTTAAATTTATGAAAATTTATAACTAAAATAAATTGAATTTAATACACTTGTGAATTTATAGTCAATGAGATAAAAAGGAAGCTTTAAAAGTTATAAGTTATTTGAAAATCTTGTTTTAAAAACTTCAATTTCATGTAATTTCTTTAAGTTTATAACATTTTTTATTAAATATTTTCCCAATATTTCCAGACTTTTGAACTTATTTACTCTAGTCTTAATAAATAAATAAATAAAACAATTTTTATGATGACATGATATCGGCAAACTTAAGTACAAGTTTTTGTTGATTATAGAATATAGAATTATTTATAGAATTTTTGAACATTTAAAAACTCAATAGGTAATTTGCGAATCCGAGTGTTGTGCAAGAGTCCGGTCACGTGAAAAAATGCATCATGTAGAATCCTAGATCATCATATATATTCAACATATTACTGGGTAGCAATAACCATCGATCGTTTTAACCGATCAAAACTTTTAATACTCATTCTTTTGGTAATAATATTTTTTTATCATATTCCATAGTAGATTTCAATATGATAACTCTTAATTTTAAGTATCAGTTGAAAGTACCCGAAACAAAGGGATACAAGTAACAATTTGTAATATATAACACACAAACATAGCACACAAATATTACAAGATTGCGTGCGCGCGCGCGTGTGTGTGTATGTGTGTGTGTGTGTGTGTACGCGCGCCAAGTTATACATGTAGATTTCTTATCAGTGATCAATGTTATGTTGCAAAATTACGTTTTAAGACATTAAGGTAACTTCAGCGTCATTGTTTTTACTAAAATCGAAATTTCTTACTAATTTCTAATCCCAAATTAATGACTCAGATACTTCAGCGCTTCGAACTCAACAGTATTTTAATAAACAAAAATTTGTAGAGAATTATATTGGTTAAGGATTTTACTGTATCTTATCGATATTGACAACATTGAAGTAATTTCGGAGAAAGTGTAACTTTTCACAACTCGTAACTGCATTCAACATATAGACATTGATGGGTGATAATAACTTTATCTTCACTTGTGTCTAATTTCTTCGGGAAACTCTATTAGCACCAGTGAAAATCTTTAATAACGTGCTACGGTTACCATTATCTCTTAATAGCAATTAGTACTGAATCTAATTCTTGCACTTGTATCCCTTTGTGCCTACTGTCTTCTATTAAAATTTACCGGGTACCTCTTTTCTTTGCCAATGCCCAAGAATTTCAACGTACCGACATGCCAAGATGTATCGTAGTTTGCGCGGGCAAAAGCATACTAATCTAATACATCTACATGGCTGAACTAAGATCATTGATCATTCGCGGTGCTATGAAAACTTATCGACCAAGCTCGTCGTCGTGAAAAGGAACGTGACGTGTGTGACGAAAAGCTTAAAAATCTACCTGGAACGGGCGTTCGACTTTAAACTAAAGCAGAATCTCTTTCTCGCGCGCGCGAATTAAGTATTGCGAACGATCAACTAGCCACTCAATCGAGATCACTCCGTAACACGACCCTGGCAGAAATAAGGGAGGATACCGTTCGACTTTTGTGCGGAATTGTTCGTTTCATCTTTGTTCTTCTCCGTTTGGTTTTGTGCACTTCTATTACAGATTTTATTGTTGTTTCATTCTATTATACTCCGTGGAGTTAATTTTCTCCTACTGTTTAATACCGCCTTTTTTTTCTTCTTTTTTCTTTATCCGTTTCCTTCTTTTGGCAACTAATAGTCTATGATGTTTATGAACAGTGCGATCGCGACTGTTGTAAATATATGACAAAGACAATGAATCGATGATGTGACAACAAGAGAGAAGAAATAAAGCTGATCCGGAACGGTATCGTCGGCAGATAGAAAACCGGATGGTACGGAGTGTGATCACGGTCGATCAACGAGGCAGATTAAAAAAAGAAACGTCTTCTCTCTGTTCTATTCCCTTGCAGCTTCCTACTTGGACGCGGTTGGTAGCAATGTTAATTAGCGATTAGCTGCAGCAGCTTTAGTCCACCATCAGTTCGAAGTGTACCGAACCACGCCTCTCGAATCTGTCGTGGTATATGTTGTGCGCCCATGCCTTGCACTCGATATTGATCAGTACTCCGTCTATAATAAGATCAATAATGTCAATTATTCCTAAATTTGCGATCTTTGCAAACCTTTTATATCCGCAATCCAATTGTGTAAGTTGTAAATTGATTTTATAGGCGTATGAATTAGCGATGCTTGACAAGTTATTAAGTTTCTTTGAAAATTTTAATGATTTTTTTATCAAATTCTCTTTATTTTCCAGACTATCCTCATAAATGATTATAGACTTGTAAATATCGCATCCGCGCTGACAGAAATTGGCATATTTTTGTCGTTTACTGTACCGCGATCAATACCGAATCGACTGCAAACGCATATTGAATAGTTCAAGTGGTGTCACGAAGAGAGCGAATCAACGAGAGATTCAGAGGCTGAACGTATCAATTGAGACTTACGATACGTTTAGCACACTACACACAATAAGAATTAATCGATTGTTAGAGATATTTAGATCAATCGATTTTTTTAATCGGTTATTAATAATAAACTGTTTCCCATTTTGAGAACATTGCGTTAGATTAAAATAAAATATATACGTACACTTGGGCTTTTCGAAGAACACAGCTACGAGGGGGCTAAGATATCCCGCGGTATTCTTGAATGGAAAATAGTAACCGGGAAAACCACGACGTGGAATGTATTGAATCGCACCCATATTTTCTATATCGGCTGGATTTTCACCGGCGCAGGATACCCACACGGTGTCCATTCTATTGCTGCCTGATTCCTGCTTGATATGCTCCTTGAGATCCGCCGGCATAAAGTCCGGCAAATGGTTGGTATCGTTATAAAATTTCGGTAGCCATCCAAATATCTGAAATAAATTTACAGTACAATTGTATTGTGCCGATAACTTTAAACCGGATCCAGAGTCGTTTAATACTGAACTCTGTATTAAATCTAATAACATGATTAGAGCATGAAAAAGTAGATATAATTAAAGGTCTTTTAAATTGTTACAAGCGAACAACAATAAAATTATCCGAAATTTATAAAATTGTTAAGTTAGGTGTGTTCTTAATTAATTGCGAAGTATGACACTTGATGACTCTATTTAAATCTGAAGTTTTATTTAATTATAAAAAAGTTTTGCACAGAGAAAATATATACGAACCTTATTTAATTTCAAGAAAATGCAAGGTGCGGACTTATTATAGCCATATTTGTTGGCCTTCGTACATTGTCCCCAGGAGGACATATTTACATCGCAAACTTTGCCTGGCGGTGCTGGCCTACCGTAATCACAGTTTACTCTCTGTTCGACGCCATTTGTGCCACTAGGTGGTTTCTGGTATTCTGCACGGGAAATGTTTCTTTAAAGTATATACTCTCACAAAATAATCGATACGTAATCGGTGAATAGCTAAGTTTAATTTTTCAGACAAACATCGTTCGATCTCGCCACTGGTTTTATACTGTGAATTGCGTTTCAAGTGTGTTTCTCTCACCTTCCAAGAATTTGTCCAACTCTCTAGTCCAATGAAGGTAGTTACCCTCGTCGCTAGCCTTGTACCAAATCAAGGTACTTTCAACGTTGCTTTCGGGAGGCATAGGCCTAAAACCGAGACCAGGGTTGCTGCCGATCAATGAATTATCCAGCTGCCATTTAGGTGCGTTAGGGTCCAACGTCTGATAGAACACAGCGAGCATTGCACCGAAGAAGCCGGATAGGACGGCGTATAAAATCACGTAGAACAGCAAAATCTTAGCTTAAAACATAATTATCTAATTATATTATTATCGAAGCTTCGATTTATAATCATTTTGATCTTAAATGAACAAAGTTAATGAATTTCTACTTGAAACATTTTAAATGTCATTGTGTGAAAATTAATAATTGTAAGTTTTTTTCCGAAGAATCTGCTTAGAAATATTAATTTTATTAATGCAAGCTGAAAATAAACCTACAAATGAAGCTAAGCATCGATTTTGATTAATATTGTGATGTAATACTGAATTTTTTTTTACTCTAAACAAAAGCTAATATATTGTTTTAATGCGCGCAATTGAATTAACGATTAAAACACGTAGATAAAGATTTATTGATTTATTTAATAATAAACTATTTACTGAAAAATTAACTTTACGTAATTTATTCTAAATATGATAGGTGTTAGAATACACGCTAAGTGGCATGTATTCTTTAAGATACAAGGTCTTATTTTTTTTTAGAACATACATTATGTAACTTCTGTTGAACGTATTGTATAAAATATTTCGATAAGAGACAAATTCTTTACATAAAAATATTTGTATTTCTTATTTATACGCTATGAACATTCAAATAATGTATATGCTTTGAATTCGGAGAAAAATGAAGATGATGCGTTGAACAACTTCATGCACGGATTACCGAGCTCTTGTTTTCTGCGTGTATCATATAGTTAAGTATATCAAGGCTAATTCTATAAAATTGATCGAAGTACTTGAAACACCAAAGTTTCTTTATTATATAATCGTAAATCGATTTTTATCATAGCTTTTTTTGAATCATGCAATCTATTATAAAATGACACATTTGTAATTTCTTTATTTTTATTTTTATCAGTTATCATGAATTCGTTATGGAAGATATTATAGAAATTTATGTAATTTTTATAATTTTTTATACAGAGATAAATTATTGAATTTATATAAGACAATGATACTAGCAATCGTGTTCTTATATGTAAAATATATTATCTGACTCTGGATTAATATTGAGACTGATCTACTATTGTTGCTATGACATGCTCGTCGAAGGTTAGAACACCGAGACAATTATGATCCAGCGCTTAATTGGTCTGAATTAGAATTGGCTAAGCGATGACATGTACGTTTGTTACACAAATTATTGACAAATAGACGCGCGTGTGTACATAACAATACATTGTTGAAAAAAAATCACACTGTTCTACAATATGTTTTCAAAAATATCGATTAAACTTTCACATTGCAATATAAATTTATACTTCTGTTTAAAAATAAAAAGCTAAATTTTCATTTTTTATCTCTACAATTTACACAAATTGTTTTATAATTCAGAATTCTTATAGACTGATATTACTTAACGATAATTACAATCATTGACAATTGCTATCTTAAGTTTTACTGACGCTTTGTATGAGATAAATTGAATTTTGCTATCATATATCCTTCATGAGAGGCAAATTATTTAGTTCTTTTTAATTATATGCTTTTTAAAATAATAATTGTTATCTAAATAATTTAAACATTAAGAGAATAAAAGCAATAATTCAAAAATTTATATCAGTAATTTCAGTCTTTATACAAGGTGATCTATTATAGTCTTTCCACGCGATTATCTTCTGAACTATTTGTTATTCGAAAAATGTTTCAAATAAACCTTAGTGTTATAAATCTTCTTACCAAAGTTTTTCTAAAAAATTTTTTTACGTTTTTCAAAAGATATGCAAGATTAAATTCAAATGTAGAACATTCAACCACATAAACTGATTCTATTAACAGCGCGCAGACGCTAACACTGTCTAGTATATAGAAATCCGACTATACAATTTCTGCGAGATGGTGATAGAGACGGTTCATATTGATTTTGGCTGAAATCGATCGACCTCAACAGAAAAGTAACGGAGAGTAGAAAACAATGGTAAAGTAGGAAAGAAAGAGGGAGGGAAAGGTAGTGAGAAAGAGAGAGAGAAAGAGAGAGAAGATTAGCGAAGAAGCAATAAATGTTTAAACTATAAAAGATATATGTGAAAAAAATTATATACATCAAGTAAATAAAATATTGAAAGGTTGAACTAAATTATATTCCAATATCACAATGTATATTTCAATTTGTACGAGATGCGTTCGTACTTATCTGTCTTTTTACTGTAATCTGAGACAAGAGAGTATAATGATAAATTAACGGAAGTCCAGCAAGGTCGAACACCTCTGATATACGAGCAAAGGAAGCCGTAGACTCTGATTTTGTCGGATTTCGTCACAAACCATTCAACTAAAGTAATAAATAATTACAATGCTACACTATGGTGTATTATTTTTATGAAAAAGAATTTAAGTATATTAATTCTTACATGCATTGCAATTATCTACCAAGAATAAGCTTTTAAATTATTTATTAATCTTTAAAGGATTGCGAAGCGTTATAACGAAATAAATATATTTTGAAGTAAGCTTTGCATTATGTATATTGGATTGTTGGAAAGTTTTTGTTTTCAATTTTATTTTCATAAAAAATTATAAAATTTTTTGAACAATTCAATATAGTTGTACTTTTTCAAATCTATTGTGTAAGCTGCATATAAAGATCTAACATAGTAACACAACTACTTGGCAGCATTTATCTTTTTCAAAATAAAATTTTATCTTTATAACACAAGTGCTACTAATATTGATATAAAGGGAAAAAATCACAACAATCGTTATTTTTCTCTTCCACTAGATGATTTCTATGTTTAAAATTATTATTTTCTTGTAAAATTTAAGATAAATTTCATAAAACTACTTCATTGAACTATTATATTTATAAAATTTACATAAAAGTCATGCTGGCCGCGCTTTTCCTCATATATTAATAAATTTATTATAATTATCAATAATTAAAAAACAAAACAAAATAAAAATATTCAAATTATTAAAAAATATTTTACTGGTTCAACTAAACACACACACAAATACGCACTCTTTTTAAATATAAATAATACATATATTAAATAAAATCAGATGTAATACATATAGAATGCTTAGATAATGAATTATTTTGAATTGTTTATAAGTAATATTTACAAAAATTAAGTTAAAAATTTGTTGAATTAAAATTGTTTGTTTTAGTTTACAAAAATAAAAGCAAAGTACTTCATTTAGAAACAAAAGAATAAAATAATCTGTTACCGATAAAAAATAAGTAAAAATTAGTCTTTATTTGATGCTTATATAAAGAGTCAGTAAATAAGGAAAGTATGGCTGCGTATGTAATACATATCTCGCTAACAATAAGGTGTAAAAATCCTGTTGCAAATGCTAATTTAGCAAAACAGGATATATGCGTAACATTAAACACAGACTATTAATAAGAGATATCCAAGCTATATCAGTATTTAAAAACCTCAGCAGCTAAGAAGCTCGTACTTATCGCGTAAGATATTTTTCATTTGCTGCCGCTCTAATGTATGAGGAAAAAATATATCATCAACCTGTACCAATACATTAAGACCTTGAGTCTAGCTGATATGTAAACATTAGCTCACAGAAAATGGATGAAGATAATCCCAACATGCATGGAAAAATATTCTCTTCTACATACATTAATTAGCAAGAATGAGAGAAAATAGTACCAATTATCTTCATTGCTTTCATCATCATTTTACATTTGCCTCGCATTTTTAATTAGTTTGATAATATGAACGTATATATTGAAAATATATATTGAATTAAATTAAAAAAATGTTAGTACAAATGTAAATTAATAAAAGATTATTTTTTTATTAAATATAATTGTTTGTTTAAATATAATTGATTAAATATAATTATTTATTACCTTCACTTTTAATTCGAAATTTTTTAGTTTCCAAGCGCTTACGTAATTTCTAGATTACATTTTAATTTTTGTGTATGATTTATATTGTTAAATATATAGATATGTAATTAGACAAATACGCGTAATTAGATCTTATGTTTTATTCGTTCAATTGTGTGCTTTTGGTACTAATTTTGCACTTTTCTTGGATCACTGTGTATTTTACAATGAGGATAAACAGTATTGTGCACGAGCGAAGTCTTATGTGGAATTCTTCCGATAGAAGAAACTACATCTTACATAACTATCGCCGTTCGCCGTTCAATAAATCTTCATCTCTGTAAGTGGATTCTTTTGTATAATGATATAATATTGAAGCTAGTGCTATTTAAAGAAGCAAATCAACTTATATGTAAAAAACACAAATTATGTAACAATATAATGTCGAGTAAATTACAATACACATGCGCCGATAACAGTTCTTAGATATTAAAATCATTAAAAATTGTTTTTAGTAAATGAAACAATATGCACATTAATATATGCATGTGAATAATTAAAAAGAAATAAAATTCCAAATTAAATTATAATAATCAATTAAGTTAATCATCATCAACATATTATAATGTATGAGTTTCGATTTTTTGTGGATTTAACTATTTTAAATGTTTTATTTTTGCACATAAAATCAAGTTATTATAATAATAAGTATTAAAAATGTCGAAATAAAACTTTTTAACGCGGAAAATATGACAATGGCGTACAACTACCATCATTAATGTGTTATTACGTAATGAAACGTTGTCGCACAATTCGATACTCGCATTTCTCTATTAAAACTTTTATAGTTCTTGGAAATAAATGATTCATATAAATTTAAAAATATCACTTTTCGCCAATGATTCATGTTATAAAAATAAAATATTCAAAAATAAAGGAAGCGTGCGCTAGTGACAGCACAATTGAACATTGATCGCTAACGTATTCAAAAATAAAAAATATATTATAATAAAAATATGTTTAATGTTATCAGTTTCACACACAATTACTAACTATTATTTCATTAATTTTTTATATATTATCAAACTCAACGTGTTAATTGTTGAATAAAATAATATAATATAAATGTGAATTAATATACAAATAATTGGAAGAATGTAATATTTTGCACAATCAATCTATTTACAAGTCCTTTCCTTTATATGTACAGATTATACTGTACAGATTAAACTGTTAATTAGATTAATTTAGCACACAAAGTATACATTATTCTATTTTTAAATATTGAAATTTTTTAACGACGCTACACGCCAAATGCAAATGATTCACTCTCTATCTAACATGACTTTTGAAGAATATATTATGTGTTTATTACAACTTTTATATTATATATATATATATATATATATATATATATATTATATTATATATATATATATATATATATATATATATATATATATATATATATATATATATATATATATATATATATATATATATATATATATATATATATATATATATATATATATATATATAAACTATTGACATTTATCTACAAAACATATCAAAATCAGATGCTATTATTGTTATAAGGAATATTCCGACTTCTATAATTAATCAAATTTTGACAATTAAAATCAATAATTGGTAGTTTGATCTGAAGGGTAAGTGAAAAATGTAAAGAATAAAGTCTACGCGAAGAGGGAATAAAGCTAATATTAGCTGCTATGAATACTGCTGTGAAACTCACCCCAACTGGCGCCGGTACGCCCTAAAAATTGTCCCGTCTCGGAGTTCCAGACGAAGACTCGAAAGCCCTCCCATTTTCCAAGCTTCGGCGGTGGAGTGTAATACTGTTCGACTTTCTTGCCCTCCATCTCGCTCTACGATTTCGGACGGTGATAAAAACCGGAAAAGTGCGAGAATGCGGTGAAAATTTTCCAGAACGACAGAGAGAAAATGTGAAAGAGGCGCGCTGCCACTCGCGTGCTGGTTCCTCTGGAGTGCTGCGGTAACTTCCCTTCTCCGGCGGATCACGTCGGTCGCGATCGAACAGCTTCGCGGGCGAGGGCGCAAAGGAAGGAACGGTCGCGGCGATTCGTGCCACTGTGGAGGAGCCGCTGCTCTCACGGAGACTCCCGTGTAGTGAGGCAAGGGGTTGAATATTGAGCGATCGAAGCTCTGGCTTGACCCACGAGAGCAAGAGAAAGGGAGACGGAGATACGGAAAGGGATGACGGAGAAAGAGAGAGAGGAAGTTTTTCCCCGCGCCGCTCTCTCGTCCTTCTTCACTCCACGATGTACTCTCTATGCCGAGGTAATGCGCCGGCGTGACCACGCAGCGCGTCAATACGTGGATTTCTTTAACACCCCTCCTGCGGTGCGCGATCACCCCTGTTATCGTCTCCCTGCGCGAATCACGACGAGGTGGCTCCACTGACAACGGCGAAAGCCGTTGCTCGCTGATCCCTTTCGCACCACCCCGTGCGTTCTCGGCCCGACCGTTTTGATACTTTCGATCGAACTGCTCGCGATAGCGAGCTTACGCACGACAGTGCCTAACGGACTCGCGTGTATAAGCACATTGGAGTCTCCCTCTCTTGCGAAGATAGAAGACGGGAGAGAGAGAGAGAGAGAGAGAAAAGGGGGAACGGTTAGGGGGAGTAGGAAAATAGATAGTAGGTCACGTGGAGCGTTTGACAGTCTTGATAGCTTGAGAGCATGACGGCGTGAACTGAGCTTTTCTATGATCCTCAAATCTCGAACTAGCAGCAGGCGTAAAACGTTGCCACGCAGTTATCGCTCGGCGATATACGATGACTGTTACTCGATATCCTTTTCAATGCTATATGATGATGTAGTGCTGATTAAATGCATTTCTTGTTTGACCGTGGTAATGTATCTTATAACCGGGATTGCATAACTTTAGAATTCCACAATACAACAATGTATTTTTGTTTCTCGAAAATTGCAACAATGCGAAAAGTGGTTTCTTTCCAACACTAAACTAAGGCATTTAAATGGTTGACAACTAAATAGCACCGAACTTAACAGCGATTAGAATCGTCGCTTAAACGTACGGCATGATCGCTTGGATCAACAGCGTTTGGCAACAATAATAATCCAAATAATCTAAGCAGATTTTGAAGCTGCTCTGCTAAATCAAGATCGCACAGATGTTTCAATTCACTAATGATATTAAGATATAATCAAAACTAGTTGATTTGCGATCGTATCACAAAGACCCTGCAAACATCTGGCTGCGATAGCAGTTATTACGCGAAGACTATCCCGACTAAAGCAATACGTGAAATCCACGTTATTGCCATGTAGATCGGCATCGTGGAATCCACATGGATATTCGAGTGAATAATAATTATGGTTTTTGTTTTATTATTGATCTAATAAACATTTATAGGCATCTATAAAATGTCTATTAGACGGTTTTTCGACCTGTATTTTTTACTGGGTATAGAATAATATTGTCTTGTTCAATACGAGTTTACCTCACCTGCAATATATACAGAAATCAAAATATTCATAAGTTGATTATCCATTAAAAATCACATTACGATAAACACAACGATATACCTCGATTGATCAATCATTATCTTTAGTAGAAATTTCCACATGAAATCTACATTGACATTTCGAGATTAAAGTACTTCGACGTAGTGAAAAAAAGAACGTTGCATCCATATGAATAATTCGTGGATAAATCTATATGTAGTCCACGTAAATTACGTGGATTCGACATGGATGTGACGTAACTATTTTTCTCGGGATTGTGCGAAAGCGAAATACTAATGAAATAATCGCATGAATCTACATGAGGAATACAAAAGACTGTAGAAAATCGACTATTTATCAAGTAAATTTAATTAATGCTTTAGAATCTCAGCCACCAATTTTATAAAAATGTAAAAAGTAAATAAGTATAAACAGACATTTGTCCACTACTTGTGATATATGATTCACCGATAAGCTGCCGTTTAATCATTTACATTGCAATTCTGCGAAAAATCATCGAGTTTTAATTCTAAAAAAAGCATTTTAAAGTTAAAGTTTGAGACTGAATTTTTCAGATGAATTTTTAAACTTAGAATTTAAGATATTTTATTTTATACCTAATTGCATGTACGTATATTTATAATTATTTACAAATCAAATCGACTTGAAATGTTCACTCTCCTATTTCGTACATCCGCCAGACATTTGATTTGATTTTAAAAGGGAAATTAGGAAAAACGTTTTAAAAGAAACTTTTTTTAGTTATGGTATAAATATAAACGTTTATTACAGTAGTTACAGTTTTTGATAAGGAACGCGAACACTATGCATAGATTTCCGGTATATGATTAATTTATATACAAATAAATACATAAATATAGTAACACTAGAATATATTTGTGTTAGAAATAATTATTAATCGCTAAATACGTTTTTTTCTTGTATTACATCTACGTTTCCTTCTTATTCAAAGCCGTGTAATAATGATTCTTATCTAAATTTAATAATGTAAATTCTTAAGTTCTTCAAAATTATAATATTAAATTTCTGTTTAAGCAAAATCTAATATTTAACATAACTTAATACACGTATAAATAAAAGTTGTAAAAATAAAAAATTAAAAAATTATTTTTTAGATCCGTTATACTCAATCTACAATAATATCGTCAACCATAAAAAACCATAAAAAACGTACCATATAAATTTTTAAAATTTTCTTAATATATTTTATAGTTTTAGAGATATATTAGCAAAAGTTATATTTAATGCTATAATCGTGTTCCGTAATTAGAAAAATTAAATTTATATATTTGTTATTAGGAAAAAAGAAAGTTATTTATTAGATTTCTTAAGCGTAATTAACTGATTGTTTAGAATAAAAATTACTAATTTTATTTTCTTCCAGATCAAATAACATTTTAAACACACACACATTTTTTTTTATTTATGATTTTAAGTTTTTTTCAAGAATTAAAATAAATTTTTTAAAAAGAAAACAAAGATTTTATCGAGAAAAAATTATTAACATACAAAGTATATTTAGATGTTCTCGATAATTACGTTTATAGGAATATAATTTTATTCAAGTACTTGAAAAAGAGATTGAATACATAATAATCATAAGCTATGCATTTAAGAATAAGGTTTCTTCAACTATCTATTTCGAAGAGTACGCTTTTCGAAACCTAGATGTTTTTATTTATTTATAATTTTATTACTTTACTATACATCTTGTACTCCCTTTACATTCTTGTGACAATTGCGTAATCTAATATCTAGAGTACCTCGTGAATTTCTTTTTTGATTAATCTTTTCTATAAATTTTCTTCAATTTATTCATATTCACAACTTATAAACATTAATATGTATTATTCACAGTCACTATACAAATTTCGTTCGACACATTTTGTTGATATATATTTAACAACGGACGTAATCAACTTGTCTTAATACTTGAGAAGTCAATGTGATTATTTTTTTTTTTACCTCCATCAAATTTTTAACTAGTAACCTTGATAGAGTCTTGTACTTTTTTTTTTATTTTCCAGCCATTATGCTTTCTTACGTTTGGCAGTTCTAGCCTAATTGTAGTATTAGAACGATCCAAGTTAATCAAAATATATGTTTTTAAAATGACATTATATCAAAAAACTAATATTGAAATATTTTATTGACCTTGCTTCGGATTTTTCAATAATTATCTGGAAAAATAAAGATCCGCGAAAATAAAATCATATCTTTTTCAATCTTTCTAATACTCGTTATATGTACATGTGCGACAGCCGTTTCTCTAACATTCTTGTAATTTTTTAACAGTAACAGGAACTGCAATATATAATGCCCAATCGTGAACTCTTTTAATATTCGCTGCCGGTTTTTAGTAACAAATAAATTAATCCTAGAATATTTTTTCATCTTTCGGCTATTGATCCTTCGTCGCAAAAATCTACTTAATGCAAAAAATGCAGCATAAAAAAACTATAAAAAACAATCAGTGCCAAGTGCATAACAGATACTGAAGAATTATCTGATATCTTTCCAGCTACAGATTTTATGATAAATAAGAAAAAGAGTGTGAATCTCTACACACACACACACACAGAAAATCTCTTTAGTAAAAAACATTTAATAACATTTAATAAAACATTTAATACTAGGAAAAATCACAAAGTAAAGGAACTTATTTGAGTCTCAAATCAACTGATATCCCTTTACTTTACGACTTTTCTTATAGTCAAACTATTTTCCAGATAGTCAAATGTTAGTAATGTCGGCAGATTGATAGCAAATTTAATTGATATTAAATTAGATCAAATTCCAATCTGCCAATTGCTAACATTTTGCTTACTGGAAGCAAAATCTTTCGCAATTTAATTTTAATAATAGATTTTCTAATCAGTTTCCAATTGATTTTTTAACAAAAATGTTAAGATCATAATTTATTACAAATTTTCAGTTTCAGTATTATATCTGTATAATTTTAAACATTATGTAACAAAGTTTCAAATTAAAATTTTAATAATATAAAATCCATTTGTTTGTGTATAAGTGAAATTAAGTATAATATACATATGTGATATTGCTATTTATATTTGCCGTTTTTTCTGCTTCAAATTTTGAAAAAATGTATTTATTAATTGCTCATAAGTGGAAAATCGTTGATACCTAAATATCTTCGCTAACATGTTGATTCCAAATTTTTCAATAAATTAAAATTAAGAATTGTACATAAATGTCATTTTCTCTCTTTTTTTTTAACGTGTTTATCATATTTAAACTTTCAAGTATTTTCATATTTTTGTTTGTTGTATTTTTATTAAATAGTTCCGTTGCAATGTTGCATAAAGGATTTAATGAGAACTATATGTATCATTAGCAGGAAATGCGTATAAAATTAATAGAGAAATTGTGCAGCTTATTTTCGAGTCACAAAGCCTCATCGGACATTTAATGTTAAATTTGTTCATTCAATTCTGTTTTCGATTAATATCTTATATATCTTACACAGAGACCACAATATTTCAAGGGAAGTTCAAAAGAGTAAAGGAATTTTTTTTTAAAGTTTCATTTTCTTCAAATATTCTTTTACTTTTCGACTTACCCTCATATAAGTACGAAAGTGTAGCTAGAATGCATTACTTTGCTGCCAGAAATTTTATTTGGCTCAATGTTTTTTCTATTTATTCAGGACAGCTGGTATAACTAGATTGATGCTGTGCATAATATTTTGCATTGATAACAAATTTAATAATTATTTTTAAAAATTAAAAAGGAAATCTGATGCATTTTACATTTTCATATATCTTTCAAGATGTCTGGTTTGACCTATCAGATCGCTATATAGTGGTACTTCCATTATTTCCGTATCTCCTCACAAAAGTAACATATATTCTTTTTGTTTTATTCCTTTCTAGTTGATATTTTTCAATTAATTTCAATTTTTCTATTCAACATCAGTATTCTTTTCCTTTTTTTGCCAAATATTTTTCGTAATACCATCAATTGTATTTAAAAACATAATTCTGCAAAAAATTTTCGTCTTTAAAACCAAATTGCAAAAGTCCGTATACAAAAGATTCGAGCTATATCGCACTTAGTGTAATAAAAATCAAAATAACCGTTTTGAATGCATTATGCATAATTTTTTCAGCTGGTTGTCATTCCATTTATATTCAGCTTTATCCTGCGCTATTGTTTCTAAGTGTTCATTGCATCAACAGTGTTGCAGCTTTGGTTAACTAAAACAGTTTGTTCGTCGATATGCTAACAAAAATTATTGTTTATATAAATGAATGTAACGATATAAACCAGAAAATAGATTTTGCGACAAAGTATGTAAACTGCATGTTATTTTATGAACTTCTCATAACTTAAAGATCTTACAGATAATGTCCTAAGAGTGGAAATATTGACGAAACTTCTTTAATTTTGAAGTGCAGAATACATTGTATGTGTATATACATATTTGTATATATAATTTACGCCAATCTGAAATTTGCGTCAAACGCTTTTGTATCAAGCACTTCTCAGGAAAGCAATTTTTTTTTTTGTTAAAATGTTATTAATAACGCGAAAGATTTGCCCAATTCTTCTGTTTTAAATATCTCAACAATAGTAGATACTGATGTACAGAAGAGAAGAAGACTTATATTAGTTAACCATGCTTAACACTAATGTTGTTGCAACTAAACAAGTAAAAATGTTTAACGTCGATTACGCTTAAAGACAATGGGCAATCGATAAAAGTTGTATAAAATCGTTTGAAATGCACGTGCAATCGCATGACTACTCGTGTACATACACCCATTATATATATATATATTATAATTTTACAAACAAACAAACATACAAACACACATACACACGCACGAACGCATGCACGCACGCGGATACACACCAGCACAACGGCAGCTAGATGATCGAACACTTTTGGTTTGTTGTCCTCATCTTTTCATTTTCTTTCTTATCTCTTTATCTTTTTTTTTTTCTTTCTGCCTCTTGCACTCCATCTTCTTCGCATATACATACATAGATACATACATACATGCACACATACATCTTTATTTTGCATATATTATACGCGCTTTTTCTTTACACACTTTATTACTGGTTTTATCGCGCGCGTGATTGAGAAAAATATATATACATAAAAACGTCGTGACGCAGCGGTGAAGAATTAATAAGTAAACGTAACAACGATAATTTAATGTAAATAGTAAATAGTAGCGATAGTATAGTAGTTATAATAGTGGTGTGATAGTAGTAATAGAAATAGAGCATTAACAGTGATAGTGGTAGCAATAGTAGTGATGTTGGTGCTGGAAAGTGATAGTGGAGATAATAGTAGGAGGGTGGCGATAGTGTTGGTGGATAATGGTAGCAACAGCAGTGGTGGTAGTAATAAGAGTATTAGTGTAGCAGTAATATAACAGAAGTAGTTACCGTCATCATCATAGTAGTAATGATAGCCAGCGAGTGATAGCGATAGTGGTGATAATAAGAGGTATAATAGTAGTAATAGTAGTAGTAATAGTAGTAGTACTAGCATTAGTAGTAGTATAGACAGAGTATATTAAGAAGTAACAGCGTCGATCACTAAATATAGTCGAATCTCATATATAGTTTTTCCTTCCTGCTTAAAGTATGATACATTCTTTCGCTTTCTTTTTTTTTTTTTTGCGTTCTGTTTACAGTTAATCGTTGAGAGAAGAATTTGGGCTGCAGAAGGGAGAATGGGAGTACTTTAGATGTCGAGGTCACAGCGATAAGCAGCTGATATTGTATGTCGCTAAAAAAAGGACGTCAGTTACCATTTTTAACCCAAAAATCTCTCAAAACGTGTCCCATTAGTAAAAGAAACAGACAAGACATTTGTGTTCCATATGGTCTCTCGTTATTTCTTGTCTCACTTTTTTTGTTCTTTCTTTGTACAATACTACTACATCATATTTTACACAATTCTACAATTAAATTACTTTGCGATCACTATCATACATAATTTGTAAAAAGTATATCTGGTAGCATGAACCGCGAAACGTTCTTAATTAGAAAAACCTTGTCGCTGTCATTGTCATGCTTGACATCGGCGTTAATGTCCTCGTCATCGTTTTTGTCGTTGTCAGCGTCAGCATTAGCATCGTCGTTGTCGTCCTGATTGCGTAGTAAGACGTTTAGAAAAATTGCCAAAATGTGAAACGAGGAATGATAGCGGTCATTTCGCGGCATCTTGTCATTAAATCGATTTGCATTGGTAAACTGATAGTAATGATTACAATGATGCTGATAGTGACGGTGAATTTGATAGTGGCAGTGATGGTGGTAGAAGTGGTGATGGTGGTAGTAATAATGATAACGATGATGATAATAGTCGCAATTATAGTAGCGACGAAAATTGTGATAAGCGGTAGCAGAGTAGTTCGTAGCAGGGGATCACTTGTCGGAACTTGGGCACTCTCCCGGCTGCTTCATTATTGTGTAATCCAGCCGATATTGAGCTGAAATCAAAACAATGTTGTGTCCCTCGTAATAATAATTCGTAAACAAATTATGAGCAGAGTTGCGCGTGAAATCGCTACATATACGTAATACTGATACAAGTTTACAATTAGTGGAAAATTATTTTAAAAAACACCATAGACGCTAGATCTGCTTTGATTTGAAAGGCAAAAGATCTTCAATCAATCGTTGTATTCTTTCTTTCAAGCAGAAAGTTTTTAACAGAACTTTGAGTTTCATTATCAATAATTTTACGTAATCTTTCTTACTATATACATACTTACATAATTTAATCTTTAATATTTTGGAAAATCCAATAATTAGAGCTTGAATTGTTTTTAAATAAATTCTCAAGATAATGTCTATTTGAATTAGTTCGAAAAATAGCTTTGTTACTAAGTAAATCAAAAGCATGATTTGCAAAAAGCGTTCTTTCATCGTACGACACAACATTTAATTACATTGGAAGAACGTACCTTTCTTCGTGAGGTCTTCCATCGTTTGATCCTTGCAATCAACCGCGAGATGACTACTGCTACCGCAATTGTAGCAAGAGATTTTCGTTGGTGGAATTACTGCCGCCGCGTACGTCACTACCGGTGTAGGCGGCATGTACGACGCTTGCACCAGTGTTGTGGCGGTTGCATTTGGCGGCGGGGGTGGCGGAGTGCCACTGGACGCGGAATGCCCGGTGTACGGGTACATAATTTCGCCGTTCGGCTGATACGCCGCGGGATAAGCCGGTCGCGCGGACGGCCCGTGCATGAAGTTGGAGTAGATGCCGGTGCTGGGTCGCAGCGCGGTCGGGAAATGTCCGTGCGGCAAGTAGGTGAGTTGCGAGTGCGTCGGCGGCGCTTGGAAGGAGACGCAATGCGATAGACTTGGTGGTCCGCCATTTCCGTTGCCCGCTCCGTTCATCATCCCTTGGCCCTTCTGTCGCATGCGGGTCTGCGGATTCTTTCTGGTGAGCTGCCTGCTCTCCGGTGGCACCGAAGACTGCACCGATTGCTGGGGCACAGACGCGACGGAGTGCGGCTGTGCTGTTACCATCGTCGAATGCATCGACACGGAATTCATGTGATCGGAGATGGGCGGCGCAACGTTGTTGTTGTCACCGCTGCCACCGCTGATCCAAGGCGCAGCCGGCGGCGTCTCAGGAGGTGACCTGCTGCCGGTGCTGTCGGAGCTGCTGCTCTGAGAACACTGCCGGCTATTTTCGGAATCGAGTCGCAGCGCTTGCAGTTGTGCAAGACAGTACACGTGCTGAGCGTTGCATCTAAAAGCACAATACATATTACGATAGATTATCATTTATCGACTTTTCGATAATGAACGTTGTATAATTTAATCAAGATGTAATCTTGATTAAGATGCATTTAGAAGAGTAAGATTCAAATGTGCACAGAATTTAACGCACACAGTGCAAGTCGAACACATCCCAAACGGACGCGTAAAGGCTGCAAACGGATAGAAGGAAACAAACATGGTCGGAAATGGAGGTTGCAAACAGACGTATTCTTAGTAACTCTAGTAACATCTTGCTTTGCCACAAATCCATGTATAACGTATACAATCTATACAATTGTAGATTTTGTTTTTTATTGAAAGCACCGGTTGATGTGGGATGGATTTCGCTTTCAAAAATCGGACAATTCCGACTGTATCCATTTATCTTTTGCGTTTGTTTGCAACCTTTATGTGTCCATTTCTTCATGTGTTCACTTCAAATCTGTCCGAGTTACATTGTGTCCGTTTCGTTCACACTGTGTTAAATTTTGTGTGTATCTGGGACCCTCCCGTTTTAGTGATATCTCAGGAGTGTTTCATTTCTTAACCCTGTTAGCAAATGTGACACGCAAATTGAGAGTAGATCTTCCATTCGTTCAAATTATTATGTAAAACGTTGCAAATTGTAAATTTTGACACATTAAAATCCTCTGCCGGCATTCAAGTTGATTGCCAATGTCTTATGGACCCTTTTTACGAAATCTTCTGTTGGACGTTCCGACTGTTTTTTCTAGATTTTCCAGATCTCTAAATTGTATATTCAATGGTCGTGAAATGCTTGTTAAAATAAGCGTAAAGTTTCAAAATGTCACTAATAATCAGTAGATGACGCTTACAAAAAAAATAAATCCCGTTCTTTTATTTTCAGACGTACTGTGCGCTGTATATGTGTCCTATGTGATTCATAAAATTTATAAAGAAATAATTTCAGCTGAAAATAAGTAATTTTTAATAGAATTTCAGGACCGGAAAGATTAATGTTTCTAAATATCTGAAACTATTAGTCAAAATATATCTGAATATTATTAAATACCTTGAATATCGATTTTGCATTCCAGCTACCGGTACGGTGAGACAAGCGTAACACGGTGAGTTTTGAGCTGTATACATTGGCGGCGGTGTAGAATACATGTGTATTGGCGTAGGTTCTATTGACGGCATGGGATAACGCCGTATATTTGAAGTGGTCACATGATTGTGATAATGATAATGTTCCTGTAACGGCGTCATCGATTTCCTATTCGAATTATTGCTATCACCCAAAACTTCCATGCTTGGTGCAACCTGTGTGACAAAATAAGCGACACAAATACTTGTAAAATGCTGAATATTAAAAAATATCAATTTACAAATTAGGTTTTATGAGTAATGTAAAATATATAATCAATATTTATGATTTTAGTTTAAATTTTAGTTTACAAACTCGTGTTTATCGCAAATCTTTAGAAACAATCTGTGCAGATGCAATCTTTCTAATCGACAGTATCGCAAATAAACCTCACCTCACTCTCCGTCGATTCGGTGACTGAATGCGTGGTGTTGCTATCCGTCTTCTTATCTGAAATCTGGTTTAAGCCGTTAGTGCTTTGATTTTTGAGTATACTCCTCAACTGTTCCACTGCATTCGGTGTCAGGCCAATATCCCTCAAGTCCTCGTCGCTCATCCTTCTGATCTATAATCCGCATTCATAGAAAATCAGTCTCGAACATCTCAACAACAGCTATGTGAAGACAAAGATTTCTCACTTACCTCGTCGAGAGAAAAGTTCTGCAGATTGGCCTTGAAATTTGGCATCTCCTTGCCCAAGGTCTCCCGGAGAGAATCGCTAGAGTTGGACAATCTAAGTCGTGGCGGTGGCGGAGGTTGCTTCGATTGACTCGTCGGAATCAAACTTGACGACGAGGTATTATCGACGTTGTTGTGTCGAGAGAAGGACGAAGAGCTCGTGACGGACAGAGGAGCAGATCGTGACGTTAATAACGGCGGTTGACTAGGAAGACTTCTACTTACGCCAATCGCCGGTAGAGGCGGTAAGGAGTTATTGTTATTATTGCTGTTGCAATTAGTAGAGCTTGAGCTGGAAATGCTTGTTTGACTATTCGAGCCGCCTGACGATATCGTGAGAGTATTCGAGGTGGACTGGGTGGTGACTTGTGACGAGGTGCGCGGGTTAACGTTAATCCTGCTGCGGCCCATCGGTGAGTTACTGCGACTAGGAGATCGTGACTGAGACGGTGAAGACTGACGGCTGACTAAAGGGGAAGGCGGATAAGCCAACATGTCACCGGTATGATACAACAGCTGGTTTCCCATCATAACCTGACCTGTCCACGGTGGCATGTGGTTAACGGACGGGAAACCGAGATGAACGTATTGCGTAGTGCCGCTCGATCCCATAGGCATTTGCTCTGGACTGGGCATGCACATCCCTGGCGGAGGTATTGTGAGACCGGGTGGCATTCCAGTGATTATAGCATTGTTCCTCATTGACATTTCTCCTAAACGTAACACATCGATATAGAGTGAAACAACGTTCAGTTGAGACGCGCGTAAATATTTACATCTTGTCGAAGCGTTTCCTTCTACAAGTTAATGAACGCTTAGACAATAGAAAATGTAGCGTACCATGATAAGATTGCATCGGCGGTGGTGGCATCAAGCAACTATTTTGAATTTCAGGTTCCATTAATCTCTCGTTCGTGCTCATGCACGGTGTACAGCCCTGCATAAATTTATACTCTTTAGTTTTTCAAAACAATTGTATAACGTCGCACTATTATATATACGTGTAGTTGTATGGCATTGTGGAAGTGTTATTAAAATCATTCCATTTAATATGAATCAATGAATTTTTATCTGAGATTATATAACGCATTATGAAACTTATATCTCCACATTTAACCCTTTGCACTTGGAAAACTTTGTAACACCAAAGTTTCTTAGAAAACCCAAAAGGCTTTGCTGCAGTACCATGTTGCATGGCACACTATATTGCTTCGAGTTGGCTAGTACAAAACTTTATGTGCAAAAGATTAGTGTTTTTTTTTTCTGTTACATTTAACTCTAAATTTTCTTAAGTATACTACAAAATTTCAATTATTTTCCACTTTGTGTAAGAGAATAAAAAATAATAATTTATAATGCAGTGAACAAAAACATCCACAATATTTTCATAAAAGTAATCTATTTCTCTTCCACAAAAAAAAGAAAAAGAAAATATTATGCATTACTTGTGATGGTTTAAAAGAAGCGTTTAGCTTTGAGAGATTCAGACGAGCTTCTTCCTCCTGGAGCTTGCTGAATATATTCCCAAAGACGCTCTTCTGCTCGTAAGTGAAGACCGGGTGGTTCAGTGCCATCGTATACAGCAGCAGCAGTTCTTCCAAGGGTTGATCGTCCACGTTAAAGGTGGTCCCGTTTAACAAGTTGGTGATCTCTTGGTGTTCGAGATTCGACAGAATCTTGTATAAGATCACCGCACAGGCATAACTGCATGAGTGCAACAGCGCCATGTAAAGGGCCAGTTTTCTTCGCGTGCGTTTGTCTGTCACACTGGAAGTTGTCAACTCGGCCAATTCAGTGGCGCTGTTTGCATGATGCTCCGTGTCTCGCAGGTCATTGTAGTCCCGCTTACCGATATCCTCGACGCACGTGCCAAGGTATCGTACTTCAAATGGCAGGCACATATTCAGCAATGTGCACATCACATCTATACGTTTATAACTAAGAAAACAGATAAATTAGTTGAATTAGCAGGTCAAATTTCTAACAATATCATTAACAACCTTTGTTATCCTAAAAGATGTCTTTAATTATTTATACAAACTCTATCCTACATTTGAATGAGTTTTTTGCACACATAAACTTTAAAGACTATATGAGAAGGAAACCTCTGATAAAATTAGTGTGTGTATCAAGTGATCTATACAAACGTCAAATTTTTTTTTTAGCATTACTGTCAAATTTTTTTACATAATGCGCAATGTTTAAACTTCTATCTGTTTCAATTCTTCCTCTCTAATTTTTCATTCATTTTAGCCTTTCTTATTAATATAAGAGTGTACAATTGCAAATATCTTGCATAACAATCTCTCACTAAAAAAAAAAAGTTTCTTGAACTCCACTGGAATCAAATTTGAATTTATTTGTTATAAAATCAAATAAAATATAACTAAACTAATTATATTGTACTGAAAATGATGAAATCGTTGACCAAAATGTTTATAATATAATTTGTATTAATTTTGTAGTACGTTCAAATTTGTAATTTAGCACTAACTGATGCGGCTCGATGTCCTCTCGATTGTATTTGTCAAAATTAACTAAGATAAAAGAAAATTTCAACTTTAGTAAATGTCGCTTCGTGCAAAGAATTCAGAACTACGAGACGACAAGGACTAGAGTGATCCAATTCAAGATCAAGAAGCACCGCGCGACGAGCGAATAACAGCACAGGAAATGATATAACAAAATTTTCAATAACACGAAATATTAGTTAAAGATTTACTGCGAGGAATGCATAACGTATAAAAGAGAATGTGCCATAGGAGCATAATATTCTCGCGGAAAGAGAAAACATTAATACGAAAGCGAGACACGCAGAGGCGTTGGAGCCTGGGGTCTCGTGCACACATTCCGCTTGGTGGATTGAGGGACGACAAGCATTGAGACGGTTACGCAAAGTTACTCCTGAAATATCTCGAAGGAGAAAGATGCGCGCATCAGAATCGCGCACTGGTAATTGTATCGTTGCGCTGCGACGCTTCCACATTACCTGGACAGATTCCCAAACCATGATACCACGTTCTCCTTACACACCATTGCCAGACAACATTGATACCACTTGGGGGTGGGAGAAAAGTGCGGAGCGACGGAGCGGACGGCCAGCGGACGTCTTTCTTTCTCTCTTTTGCTTCTCGTTTCCTCTCTCCCTGTGTTTCTTTTTCTATCACTGTTACGGGCACCGCACAATCGGCTTGACAATCAGATTCCTGTGGGCGAGAGCCGCTTCACGAACGCGCGACGTTCGTTGAGATCCGGTGGGAAACGACGGTTCTCATACAGGCGTACGAAATGCACAGTAACGGCAACGATAGCGGCAACACGGCACACCGTCAAATGTCCACATTCGTAGCAGCAGCGAGTGAAGGGAGCGAAGACACCGAGAGAATAATATCCAATTGGAACTGGCAACGTATGCGATCGACGAACGCGATCAACCCGCGCGTTGCGTGGTGGCAGTTCGTTAAAGATAAATTCTCGCGAGTGAGCGAGCACGTAAACGGTCGCGCGCTCCCCGGTTGTCTCTCCCTGGCTCTCGCGTGTTTCCACAAAATGAACAATATGTCGTATGATATGATATATACTATTTCGTCACCGTACGTCTGCGTTCGACCGTGCACTCTTTGCTGCGATATAACTCGCGAACTCGTTCGTTTTCACTTTCTCTCTCTCCTCTCTTTTTCTCCTTCTCCCTCTTTATCGTGTGCAAATGCTACGCAAATGTGTCGGATAGACAAGTCGAGATCCGTTCACATGTTTGCGTTAAAAGACATCGGGCAATGGCTAAAATCAGCGAATGCAGGCGTGGTACTCATGTCGCCGATATAAACGAAAAAAAAACATATTATTAACGTACGATTCGTATTCGTATAAAAGAATTAGAAAAATAATAATAAAATGGATTTATGTGATATCCAATATCCAAGATGTTTACAAATGTCAATATTCAATAAGAAAATGTACATACTCTGTTGGTGAATTCAGTTGACGAGCATTCTATATTAGTAACTTTTGATAACTAATGTTAGATATAATTGTAAAAATATACAATGCAAATTTACTAACTGCGTAACAGAGTCGACCAATTACATATCTTATTCAAATTTAAATTAAATACGTGATTGGTCAATTTCTTTATGTTATTCATTTGGCGGTTACGCAGGTCCGAATGTATCTTAATAAACGGTTGTATTAAAAAACACAATAATTATAAAATTGTTGAGTAATAATTGCCTGTGATCTGTAAATATGCACTATAGACGTTTATTACTTGATAGTTTTAGGATTTGTATCCACGATACTAGAAATTGTGGACAGAGAAAAAATTACTAAAACTCGGTTTGTGGACATACTGAAGTTGGATGTAGAATTTGTTGAGTTTTATATTTAGGAAGTGAAATGTTCATTTAAGAAAGAAAATAAAAAATCCAAAAGAATTAAAGACTACTAATCCAAGTCAAATAATCTAGCGACAAAAACTCTGTCCAAGAATTCAGAGCGATTCCTAGCATCGTGAACAGCAATGGTAGACCTGAACAAACAGTGCTGCCGCAGCACTAGAACTGGTCCTCTAGTTTTATAAGAGAGAACTAGGGAGATTTTGCATCACTTTACACACTCTGAACGTTTTGAGTTGCGTATGAATTGATTATTTTGGCAGTAATATAAATCGCTTAGATGAACGTTAAGAAATGTTATCACAAATGAGTCATCGATAATTAAAATATATCAATACGGATTCAATCAAACGAGTAGTCAATAGGAATTTTATATCTTAACTGTGTATCTGATATCTTATCCTAATGGCAGGGCCTGATTTGCCGAAGACTCCAACTCCTTTAAAAAACATTCAGCAATATTTGACAGTTGCCATAAAACATGATCAGCGAGACTGTGTTGTTAGTTATTGGTGTACGTATATATGTGTGCATGACAATATATTATATATAGGATATATATCTTTTATTTTGCAAGATCTTTACGTCAATCTCAACTTAAATATCTTACATTCAGTGTCTTTTACTAACTTTAATTGTAAGACATGAAAAAGCAAATGCCCTATCAAGGGTTTAATATTTCTTACTTTCTATGGAAAGGTTGGAGAATGATTAAAATTCATGTAAAACAGGTCGTCTCTATGCTCTTCAAACTGGGTTGAAATTATCAACAAAGACGTCAGAAGAAACAGGTTTTTTACTGAAGTTAATGGATTGGTTGGAAACAACAAAAAAGGCATTGCATGATAATGAAGCTATTACCAATGAAGTTGCTGCTCAAGCGCATCTGGAAAATTGGGCCTTGAAGCTGTTTTTATATGCCGATAAGAATGATAGAGCTGCTAATTTTTCAAAAAATGTAGTACAAAGCTTTTACACCGCACAAATATTGTACGATGTATTGACACTGTTTGGAGAATTGAGTATAGAAGCAGCTCAGAATCGGAAGTATGCCCAGTGGAAGGCAGCTTATATCCACAATTGTCTAGTAAATGGAGAAACTCCAGTACCAGGACCGATGGAAGAAAAGGAAGAGGAAAAGGATTCGATTGAAGGATTAAATGATAATGGTATTAGAATATGTACATATTATGTATACATAAACACATTTTTTATCCTCATGTATCTATTATTTTAACATTTTATGAATTAGATGAAGATCCGGAATCAAATGTAAATATTCCACCTGAAAATCCGAAGGACGACATTCCACAAAGTATTCCATCTACTCCTGCAAGTCCACCTGCAACTGTACGAACACAGTCATTTGAATCAGAGGATAATACTGCTTATAAGACAGAAGGTAAATGTCATAATATAATATTTGCAAAGGAGAAAGTGAGTGAATAAGTACGTCACAAATAGAAAGATAATTTAATATATCATTATTTCATTTCTGATGATAAATAATCTTACAGACAATACCAATCTGTCAGTAGAGCACATTAATAAAGCGCAAAAGTACATAAAATGGGCAGGCAGTGCGTTGGACTATGACGATGTACCTACTTCCATAACAAATCTTCAGAAAGCTTTGCATCTTTTAACTACAGGTCAAGAACTTGCCTAAAGAAACCGATAGACATTAGGTAATGGCTTATTTGTAATTAGTTGTGATAAATTTGTCAGCTATTTTCTATAATGAGGAGTGCAAATATTTTACTAATACAAGATTAAGCAAGGTTTTGACAATTTTAACAATAGATTATCAATTATTACTTTAAAAGGCTTACGAAAACCAGCAACTAGATATTAATGAAAATAACCTGAAATGAAATAGAGCATCGAGCACTTTAACATCTTTTATTTATATAATGTTGAAGGAGATAGATTAATGAATAAATGTATAAAAATATTTGTCTTTTAACCACTTTTATTAGGTATTATATATAAATAATGTTTATATTGAAAATTTTCAACATTTAAACATCACAATATTGTTAATATAACATTTGAAGGATATATTTTTTATTTCAATCTTGTATATTGAAGAAAGAAAAAAATATTAATATAATGGCGTCAGCAAAAATATAATAATATAACACAGATATTTTCAAACTCAAACCAATTATGGTTTTAACATAAGAAAATTAATATATGAAACTTTTAGATATCAATTTTATTCACACAAGTAGTGCATTACAAATAAACATTCCACAAATCATTAAATTGTGATTCGAAGTCCGGATATTGTTTGGCGTAAAGAGATTGTTATGAGTATCAAATGGGTAATTAGAAAAGTCTGTCTGCAGAAGTCTGACGGTTTTTATTTTTGGTTTTATTTATCAAATTTGTCCGATCACATTTGTTCTACACACGTTGACTTTTTGAGAAATAAGTTAATAACTAATGCGCATATATGTCCCGATTGTTAACTACAGAAGATTTTCTGTATATCCATACACGCACGCGTTCACACACGACATATGTAAAGGACGCATTCATTGAAATGGCAGTTAGTACCTCGTGCTTAAGCTAGTGTCTCTGAAAACTGGTTGCATCAATGTTGATTAGTATTACACGTTGTGACAAATTCAAATTTTCTTCTATTTATGCTACAGCTGGTCGTTTATGTTAAATAATTTTATATTATGTTGGATAGTTGTTTATAAAAGTTATTTCTAATTTAGTTATTTATATTGTAGCTATCTGTATTTCAATTGTCTATATTATACACGATATTTCTGCAGGAAAGATCAATACTTTCGGAGATTGCAATATAAAATATTCTAAGAAAAATGTTCACAAAAATGGACATTTTAAATGGTCCATTTTGAATAGTTTCCAAGATAGAACTGTTTAAATGTATAGTTGCAAAATACTGATAGTAAAAAGATATTTCTTACTCTTTCTAATATTTACTGTTTAAATGACAAATTTATTACAATTTGTAAGACATTTTCGAAAATTACACCGTCAACATTTTACAACTGTAAGAAAATGGGAAAATTTATTCTGAACTGTTACTGGCAATATTCGTACAACTAGTTGTTTAAAGAACTTGGAAACCGTTCAAAATCGGACACACGTGTACGTGAATTTTTTTCGTAAAATGTATATTATGATTCTTCAAAATATTTTACTTTCCTGCCGAGATATCCTGCATAGCTATTTATATTACAGTATTTTCTACATTACATAAATGTTTACGTCATAATTCTCCTATTAGATCATGAAAAGAAGCAAAATATTATTAACTCGCAATCAAGCCAATTCAGAATCAAGAATGAGGCAATCAAGCTGATTTGTTCCTAAAACTTAATTTCACGGATTAATGTAATTTTCTTAATGATATTTGCTCTTTTTATATTATTGTCCTAACTGTAATATAAATAGAGACAGATAGTTTTTCTAACAATTTTTCTAACAATGGCCGATGACAATCGACATTGATGCAATAATACTTTAATGGGCCAGTGCTGCGGGATAAAACATTATGATCAATTCATGAAAACGTTTACGTATATAATGAGGACTAGAATTGCGGTTAGTATTAAAGATTAGATTTGTTTTGCGAATTTTTAATCCTTATCAAATGACCAAAAAACGATTTTCTAATTACAAAAAAAGGTTGCCTACGTCGCATATTTGTTGAGTAGTTTACATCAACAATAAAAAAGAAACGTAATAATCGTAGGCTAAACAAGGAAAAAAAAATTCTCTTTCTTTTGCGCGTGTCTTATTGTAAATCTGATTGCGTCTGCCATAGCGAGCAGACAGCTCGTTTTTTATTCTTACAAATTGCAATATCGTGCATAATAAAGTGCAACAAAAATTGATTATAACACCTCGCCGACGAGGGCTAAATAAGCTTGGATACGTTGATACTTCGGTCAACTTGGATACATCGAGCCGCGCACACAATAAAAGGGGAAACTACACGTCCCATCGGTGAAATATTAATGTTTGCATTAAAAATGATTTGTTCTCCATCTCGTTTTTCCTTCCGGAGATGTATATTTTTTACAAACTTAACCTACATTGTTTTAAATTATTGTTTCTCCTATTATAAAATTTTTGTAAGTATTGAAGCTATATTAAGAACACATACATTATGCACACATTAAGAAGAGAAAGTTAAATAATCTCGTCTTGAAATAAAAATTCCACTTTTGGAACAATGGAAGAGCGAGAGAGTATAAATTTGAAATAAATAAATAAATTAATAAAAATAAGTAAATTTGATCGGAGAACTCTTTTTAGTGTTCCGGAAACGGATAGAATCACATGAAAGAATCAACATGAAAACGAATGACTTTATTCTTTAACCATAATCTCGCTCAGTCTTGCTTCTTAGTTTTATCGTCAACGCCGTTTGCTGTTACAGACTGCGTGTCTTCTCGTCTCAACTGCCAGTCGATTACCAATCGCCCCGTGAGCATAAAAAAGAATACCTGAAAACATTTTCGCAATTTACGTCTTTCGATAATCTTGCAATAATAAGACCTTGCAATAATAAATGCTTACCAATGCCGGGGCGACCCTCTCGAACTTATCGTTGACCATGTAATGAGAGTATACAGCCATGAGCATCAAAACAAGCAACACTGTATTTGACAAATTTTTAACTTTATCTGAAAGCATTTTAAAGGATTACCTTAATAGAGTTAGTTCCACTTATCAAACTTTTATGATAGAATAATTAGAACTAAAAATTTGCACGGAATAATAAATATTGGGCGGAGCAGTAAATATCTGACATTTCTTGTGCACCAAACTAATATTATAAAAGAAAGTCGACGATTCAGTAAAACAAAATTCTATAAATTCGAATAACCGTGAGAAACACTCTCTATAAAAATAGACATTTCATATTTAATAGATTCGATAGTTTGTTGTATACCATAAAAAATTTACAATGAATATCTAGTGAGCTGAAAAGCCAGAAAATAAATCATTTGAACGAGCGTTTGCAACAAGAAAAACATTATGATCGAAAAACTTGGTCGATTTTTTGCACCTACGACTTGGAATAATCGCCATGGCGAGACCGCAAATTATCTCGAGCGAGCCGACGACTCTTCGATACCACTTGCTGGGTATCTTGAATTGAAATGTGCTAGAAAGTGGGAATACTTTCGCGTATTTGACATATTCTTTTCTCTGAAACAAAAAAAAAACAAGTATTAAAATCCAATAGATTTTTGGTAAGTAAATATAGAATAAAACATAAGGCACTTATGTAATGTATATCTACATACTTGCCTAAATTTATAAACGAACCAACGAACATATAGAAGCTATTTGCTAATAGGCAAGCTTAATACATCGTAATATTTCTAGCTTTTTCTCTAGTTAATATTGTAATTTTTTAAGAAAAATGTTAAATATATGAACAGTTTTCGAATCAGTTAAAAAAAGTCAACGAATTAGAAGTATAAATAAATAACGAAATCATATTTTTTAAGTTAATTTTGGATTTTTAAAGAATCTTGACTAAAATTCTAATTTTAAGAAAACAGATGTTTCATGTTAAAAGTTAAGAAAATTGTAAAATATATAGTGTATTATTAAATTCCGATTATGAAAAAAATATCTCAAACTTGAAGAAAATTTCTCGCTGTTTATCTCGGCTATCGAACGTTACATTTACTTGTATAATATTTATATAATAGCAAAATAATCGAAAGCCCGTTTTGGCAGCTTCAGATAATTCAACAAGAACTCGAAGAAAACGTGACTTGTTCTAATACGCGAAGTATATAAATATCATTCGCCAGTAAGTTAGCGAATTAACTGGCGGTTGACCAAGCACGAGTATTTACCTTAATATCATTTTCATTAGCCAGCATCAGAATACCAAAATAGTAGAACGACACGATCGGTTCTTATTTTACATCAAGATTTTATATCTATACGTAACAGTAGTATTATATAGAAATAATGAATATTTTGCATTTCAAGAAAAACTCTGTTTTATACAAAACTGTTCAAGAAAAAGAACGATATAAATCAAACATGTTGCAAATTCAACAAAAGGATGGAAAAAAGTTTACATAAAATCTTGTAAAGTGTCTTATTTTAGTGTCAGATTTAGTGAAAATTTTTTTTCAAATGATGTGTGTGCGCGTGCACGCGCGTGTCGGGTGTCGCATGTAAAATATTTCAACAATTCAATAAAAATATGCTGATAATATATTTACGTGAAGCTCCTGAATTTCTATTAATTCATATTTGCGTTACTCCAATTTATATTCGATTTGCAATACGCTTTAATTTGCATAATCCATATAGAAGCGACATTATATTACATTATAACTAAACATCGCAGCATATCGTGGTATACCTGGACTCGTTATTGAGCGCACGCGTTACTGTGTATATTTTTATACCATCTATAAATAAATAGTAAAAAGAATACATTTTGTGTATATTCTTGCTGTCAGATTAAAATCTCGCTATCGGATTAAAATTGCGCTGATAATCTTTTAATTGAGAAAATTTGTCGTGTAACCATTTTCTGTAATATTATTTTTATGTGATTATTTTGATTCCAATAGTCTCCTCACTAATTACGAATTATTAATTTTAAATACATTTGAAGATTGCGTTCAACCCTGCGGATAATCGCACGCTTACTATCCGAGACGATAAGAAAAAATAGTTTTCTTCAACAATATAATACCATAAAAATTGGCAATTCACATAAGAGATTAATAATGTTAGAACTGTCAGAACGAGTATCGGAAATGTTGCCATAAACGCGCGCGCGCGCGCGATCATAATGGTGGCTTAAGGGTAGTGGCGGTTATCTCGAACACGTAACATTACATAACGAAGCCGGGTTGTGACAGATGGGATAGATACATACGGCAGCTCGCATTCTGCGTGTTCCTACTTTAGTATTGATGTCGATATCCGAAATTATATAAGCGTAAAAGACGGGAAACAAATAACAAACGATTTCTCTATTCTGTTAATTTTGCGCGCCAGGTGATTTAATAACTATTTTTTACTATCTAATTATTGACCGATTAATTGCAAATAATTTATTAATTAAATACCACAGTTCGTGATTCATTTGCGAAAGTCGACTGACAGTCATGGATCGAATAAGATTCTCAAATCGTAGATTATAACAAACTTACAAAGTGATTAGTTGAAATAATTGTTAAACCCAAGATCTGTGAAGTTTGGCGACGTTTGTTGTCATTTATTAAGTGAAGTGATGAATTATATATATATACTAACTACACTAAGCTACAACCGATCTGTCCATAACAACTGGATATTCCGCTGGAGCATCGCAAGAAGAAATTTGAATTGTTTACCGATGACTTACCAAGTCCTTGTGCAGATCCTTGCTGATGCCCGACGTGAGCTTCATGGTGCCGATGAAAACAAAAAATACGCCGAGCAGCACGGAAAGTGACTTAAGCACTATAGAGCCCATTTTGATAGCCCGGATGGAGTTAACGTGTACACTGATCGATTGCCGAAAGCACAAATGCGATCGTACTTAAGCACGAGTTGTTCCCGCGAAAAGTTCTACCTCGTCCTCGTGACGGAGGACCCGACCGATGAAGACGTCTATGAACACATGCTCGCGAATGCCGCCAGCGAAACACGCTCTTGGACAGAAGTTTGAAAGCGACTGCTGCAGCAAGGACTACACATCCATAGCACGGCGTCCTCTGTGACTGACGGTGCAAAGCACGTAAAGTGAGTTGCGTCGCGATGCGTGGATGCTCCGCGGTGACGTCAACGGTCGATGCGCGCGTATCGGCGTCATCGCGCAGCGGTTATTTTCTGATCGATACGACGCCACGGCCGCTTTTCTTTCACATTAATCGACATAGTATGTACAACATAGTATATTTTTACGACAGTAAACCCTCGATTTTGCGGACTAATAGAAAAAAAACAAAAAACAGCCGAAAAACCCGATTATTTGAAGTTTCCGAAATTTAATGTAATTGACGAGGAAACTATCAGGTTACTATATCTCGATAAACACGCGGCGAATTCAAAAAAGTAAAATTGCAAGAATCGCCAAGATCAACAATCGATTGCTTCAAATCTATCGCAATGACGCAAGATAGTTTGAAGGAATTTTTAATTAAGGAAGCAATGTCGAATTTTATACACACTATTATAGAATACGCTTTGCAAAACATTAAAAAAGAAACTATTATTTGAAAAATGTCACATCGCTTTGTACGTTCTTTATTCGTACTCAACACTTATTGGTTGTATATCCAAAATTTTATTAACATTCTGTACAAGTGCGTAAATTAATGATTATTTACATGCCGCTTTTATAGATGCGCGTGATGTCTTGCAAGCGCGCGGCTTCAAGACGGAATCGCTGTCGTTACAATTGTCAGAAGCAGGGGAGGTTTTCATTATATTTGTGTTCATCAGGACAGTCATAGATGCGTTACTGTCGCTTAATGTCACAGCTTTCCGACGACGCGAAATTACTATCCCCTTGTTCTGTTGGTCCTTCTTGTTCCTCACCAAAGGTGACATTGTCTTCTTAATATCGACTGATTGAACGTTGACTGGTTCTTCCAGTTGCATTTCCTTCATTTTTACTGTTTCTGAAACAGTTTTATGACAGCCGAGAATCGTTGGCTCTTCGACCGCATCGAAATCATTCGCACTCGCAGGAGGATTCTGATTATAATTATGATCACTGAGGCACGAATGGTTTGCTTTTGTGTTGCATTTGTCTAATCTTCCAACAAAAATGTTAGTTTTTGCTTAATATTTCACTTTCATCTCTACTCTCATTATCACAATTAAGCACAGCCTCGACCTTTGTAATTTTACTAGTGGAACTTAATTCTTCATCAATTTTACAAGTAATACTATCAGTTATAAAATTATTGTCCTCTGAAATTTTAATAGCATTTTTATCACTAGGTTCATTTATTTCCTCCTTTTTAATAGCGTTTTTAATATTAAGATCATCCATCTTCGTGATTTTAGTGTCATTTGCAGAATTAACATCATTTGTCTCCTTTATGTTATCAGCAGTTTCAGTAATAGAACTTTTTAATTTTCCTCAGTATAGCAACAATCATTGTCATTATTACTATCATGTATCTGTTCAATCGTTTCGGTATTATGAACAGTAGAATCCGCTACATTTTCATGAAGATGAGATTTGCATTCATTAATATCATTATTACAGTTACGCACTTCATTAACTGTTGTATCGTTCTTTCCGGAATTTAATTGTTCGTTTTTATCTTCGACTGGAAACG